AGAAGACGACTCAGCGCTGTGGGTCTGAAAGGATGTGTAGCTGTCAAGAAGAACCTCACTGAGAAAAGGAGACGGACACATCAAACAAAGAAGCTGAACAATGGACTGACCACCCCACAGTCCACACCTCAACATCACTGAATTTGTTTGATTACTTCAGAAAATGATCAACCAGCTTCTAAGACTGAACTTTGGAGGTGTGTCTGCAGATTTACTTGAGAAACTGAAAGTGAGTCTCCTGAAAAGAACGGAAGCTGGAGTAAAGGTGAAGAGTGACTCACTGAACACTGAACACTCAAACAGCTGAGAGTAGATTTAGTTGTGTATTTTTTTGTTAAATATATTTTCTTATTTTTCTTATGCTTTGTCAGGTGTTTTTTACTGTACTGTAGATGAAAAATGTAATAAAACTATGTATATAATATCTAAAAACATCTAATTCTAATATTTCCTAAAGAGCTTTTCTTCTTGTTTTTACACAACACATTTAGCACACACACAAAAACACACCTATGTTACTGAAATGTATTGCTATACGTGGTCAGCATGATCTAAAAATAAACAGAATACATGGTAGTCTATATCTCAATGCACACTGCTCCACCGCATGCACACTTGCAGGCCTAAATTAGCAGAATTGGTAGTTTTTGACGCGTTTCCTGCTGGAGGGACTCTATATTAAATGCCCTGATTCTGTAAGATAACGCTAAACACCCCCACCAGCAGCTACACACACACAGGGGCTTTTCATTCTACCATTCAAATAACCAAAACATAAACATGCGCTGAGTAAAGCAGAGTGCTGGAAATGAGCGTGTGCAGCAGGCCTGAACAATCAACCAATAACAACAATTACCAAAGTCGAAAATTAAACACGCCACGACAGGTTTGGTGTCTGAGGTCTGGTCTTTAGTGTCAGTGCTGGACCTACAAGGCCAATGTAGACAAACAGTAAGGGATGTGTTCTCTGTGGAGGAAGTGGTCCCCTATTTTCACATAGAAAATCAACAAAATGTGTAATTTGACCAAAACTTTTGCATAGGACTGCATGAACATTAATTAGCATAGTGCAAACGGCACGCCTACATCATCACCTCAAACCATGTCAATCTATAAAAGATAAGATACCGCCCAGCCCCTTGATCCTGGAGGTCGATTCTGATGTATCAAGTATGTACGTAGATACTGTGATATAAACTAGTCTGATCTACAGTTTCTCATTAGGTTGAATGAATAACCAACTCTAAATGTAGGTATTGTGATATAAACTGAGTCTGTTCTACAGTTTCTCATTAGGTTGAGTGAATAACTGACTCTAAATGTAGGTATTATGATATAAACTGAGTCTGTTCTACAGTTTCTCATTAGGCTGAATGAATAACCAACTCTAAATGTAGGTATTGTGATATACACTGAGTCTGTTCTACAGTTTCTCATTAGGATGAGAAATCTAGAACCATAACCAGATCAAAAATGGCATTTTGCTGTCTTATATATGTACTTACACACACACACACATATATATATATATATAAGCATATAAATATTTATATATATATATATATACATATATATATATAAATATATATATACAGTATGCAAAGTATATACAGCTTACCTTATTTCTAGTATAATGTATACAGAGCAGCATTTCATCCTTTCATTGCATATCTCTTTCTGCGCAATCACCACCTGCTAAAGCTAAAGCGCTAGCGTGGTGCGGGTATTTGCTGAGAGGAGGTGTGTTAGGTTCTGTGAGCTGAGCACTGCTAACACACTTCTCCTCCACCACAACAAAGAGCTCAGAGCTGCTCTCCATCCTGCACACACACCCCCCTCACACTGCACTCTCTCACTGCTGGGGTCAGTTTTACGCAATGTTTATAATTAAAGACGCTGCATTTATCTCACGAACATCAGCCGAGCCGACTACAGATGGACGACACCCACCCGTGAAACTCACAACACTCATACAGACCCCCTGTATGAGTCACAGCAGACTGAATATGAGCATACCTGCTGAACCACCACGACCGCTCCCACTCGTCACCATCAGCGTCAGCCTGATTCAGACGCCAGAACGCAATTACTCTCTCAACATGACGTATTTCACAGCCAGACCGGACATCCAGGCCTCGTCAACATGCAGACAGACATTTTTAAAAACCTAGATTTCATTCTCTGTTTTCACTCTGTTGATGCCGTGCAGGCCATCCTCTTCGATACCCCACACAGGCTCACAGTCCAATTACTGCCAGAAAATAAAAGCTTTACGAAAGAAAAGCCTAATGCACCCATACGTTCCTGATCAGGAGATTTTCTAGCTTTTCATTCCACTTTGAATTATGGAGTTTTTTTTTATTCGAATATGTCTTTGGTTAACATATATCAAGTCATATCATTTTAGGGTCACTGAGGTGTTTTTAATATTTGCAGTCCAGGTGACGCCACCTTTAAAAGAACTGAGCGCAGCACATTATGACGCCTCCATATTGCTGGCTTAATGAAAAAGTAAAGCTAAATTCAATTATAAACATGATTATAATTCCCCAATTACTGAAAGCCATAATTCAGACAGAGTTCTGCACACTCAATACATACCGCTACAGTAAGAGTTTTCAAAAAACTATATTTTCAGTGACCTAAACCATCGTTTTCGTGCAAATGGGAGGCCAAAATCCAGATACATGTGGATGAGGCCTCAGAAGGGAAATTAATGTGGGCAGCATGTGATTTTATCTGCTGAGATTTGATTGAATTGTGAGAAACAAGCATTCCAAAACGATCTTCAAACCTGGATGTCATTGTGCAGTCCACGCTGGATCCAGGAGGGCGAATACAGACCATACAGCCCTTATAAGGAAACTAAGCTGCAAAAACAGCCGGCTCTGAGGTCACTGTTTTTGTGATGTCATAGAAACCAACACTTTACACATATTTACATACAAGCCTATGCCAATTTAGCCCCGCCCACTCATGCTGACTTTATAAGGAGTGTTTTAGCCTGGACTGATTTGTGAATGAGGACAGCCAATCAGAACAGAGCTCATTTACATATATGAATGTTGAAGGAACAGTAATAAAAACAGGTAGCTTACATGAAATGCATTAAGAGAGGCTGAAAAAAGGTCACATATGAATAAATTAAAACACAAATGTTATGTTAAGTGGGGGAAAAATAAAATACGAGATAAACTCGAACGGGTTCTTTAAAGGAACACTGATTTCTGTAGGCCAAACATTACGGCCTCTGTTTGTAGAGGCCTACGCGACGCCTACACACCACTTTCATTCTCATTCCACCAAACCCACCACAAAATACAACAAACGACAGAGAACGCAGACCTGCAGCTGCAGTTATAGAACATCAATGTTAGATATATAACAAAACCATGTATATGTTTCTATACTGCTATTTGATTCTGCTCTGCACACTTAAAGAACATGGTTCTTCAAGAGTTTGTTAGTAAAGGCCTCACATCAGACTGATGGAAAATGTGTTGTATAAGGTTTTAAATAGAACTTGCTTAAAATGGCACCAAAACAGGTTCTTATATTGTATGCAAGCTTGACACTGTAACAGCAGAACCCTTTTTGTTGCTAAATAGAACCATTTAAAACAGATTCTATTATAAAACAATATACGACACATTCTCCACCAATCCAAAGAACCATTTCACCATGCGGAGAACCATTTAAGCACGCAAAGCACTCTGTATAGAACTCAAAGTTCTAAACAGAACCATTCCCTTGAGGAGCCATCTTTAAGTTTGTGCAAGCCCACTGAAGCTTGCATCATGTTCACCTGTTCACAACGACAACTGTAAACATACTGTGTTTACGTTTATTCACCGTTATTACAGCGCGAGAACATTAAAAGGTAAGAAAAACGTTATTACAACGTAATTACTCTGTTATATGTTGCATTGCTACAAGGTTATTACATGGTGCAATGTTAGAATTTGCATTGTTTCCCACAGTTTAGGCACATTTTCCTGCAAAGGGAGACTTTTATTTTTTTAAATGATGTTAAAGTAAAAGTTCCCTGGCAGTCTCGAGCGCAGAGCAAACGGACATGTAATGGTAAGTAAACAGCACTTTTTTCTTAGTGTCACCTTCACGAGCCTCAGACGTGGGGGGCACGAGCAGCTGCTTTTACATGCATGCGCACGTGCAGGACAGAAAGGGTTAAAAATGTTTTAAAAAATATATATATGACCCCCCCGCCCCCCGCCCCCGTCTCCAGAGCACCATGCACGCCCCCCCCACCACACACAAACACACACACACACACACACACACACTCCTCCAGCATCACAGCACGCGCTTTCTGGGAATTAATACGCACTTTATTTTTTTTCTTGCAAACTTTTCAGCCCCCCTACGACCCACCCACCCAGCACGCGCTCCACTGCCCATGAGCGCGTGGGGGGGGGGCAGGAGGGGGCAGCTGCACTACCCCACCATTAAACCAAGAAAAAAGTGACTAGAAGTTGTTTCGCCAGCTTCTGGTTCGAATTTCCCCGTTCCACCTTAAATGGTGCAGCAGTTACATGAAGGCGCCGTGGGCTGCTGAATGTAACTGCTGCACCATTTAAGGTGGAACGGGGAAATTCGAACCAGAAGCTGGCGAATAGGAAGCTCAACTTCAGCCTCGTCCAAAACTCCTCGTCCCCGAGCCTGAATTAGTGCATTACGGACAAAATAAAAGTTTTTTTTTCACACAGTCTGTCCTCCAACAAACAAACAAACAAATAAACAAACAAACAGAGAAAGAGCAGCGGACCGAGGGCAGCACGCCGCTCCGCTCCGTTATCTGGAACTTCTGCCCCGAGAAAGAGACAGAAAAAACTCTCTAAAAGAGGGGCTAAAAGCTCCGAACACAGCCCCCCCCCCAACACACCGTACACACACTGTAAACACCACAATAAACAACAACAACAAACAGCGCAAACAACAACACAAACAAGAGAGAAAAGAGAAGAGTAGCGGTGCGGTACCTGCAGCCCTCCAGCGCCGCCGCAGCGCTCATACTGAATCAGAGGGAGCGGGAGAGAGACACTCACACACACACAGAGAGAGCGAGAGAGAGCGAGAGAGAGAGAGAGCGAGAGAGAGAGAGATAGAGAGAGAGAGAGAGAGAGAGAGAGAGAGAGAGAGAGAGCAGTACGCAAGACACATCCGGCAAAATAAAAGTCCCTGCACTTATTATGCGCAGTTATGTAAAACAATCTTGAATTATTTCTGCGGGTATTGAAACATGTTGAAAGGATAAAACGACACAAGTATTTGTGTATGTGTGTCTTAAAATGTCTTACCTGAATTAGATTCTAAATCGAACCTGCATTTATTTAAAATTATATCCTAATACGCGTTTTTCTTTAAAACGTTTAGTATTAAATATTCTATTACTTTAAATACATATATTTATAAATCATTATTTACTTTCGTAAAGGTGTAATTTAAATGCGGTTTCAAATTTATGGGCTTTAAAATGTAAAATATAAAATATGCAAATGTATTTATTTTTATTTTATTATTTAAGTTTATTTTAAACAAATCATATTTTGAAGTACATTTGCATGTGCATTTATCTAACGTTGTACTTACATGACCTTAACTATTTCTCCATTTATGTAAAATTACAGTTTCAGCTGTGTCAGCATCTTTAAAAAGTACTCATTTTTAATTATTTCTACATTTATTTAAAATGGCTTTAAATCACTTGTGCATTTCTATGAAATTTAACCCTTCAAGCAGAGGTTAGAGGGTGCGGAGGAGGCGGCGAACAAAGCGGCTCTATCTGGTCTCTCTATTGGATTAAGTTAAATTCCATTCATTTGTTTCGGTTAATTTACTTTATTCCTTAGGTACGTCACGACTTTTATTCTTGTAAATTTGTTCCCAGAACGCTGAACAGCTCTGGCTTCACATGTCTTGGAGTGAAATACTAAATTTTAGGTTTTTTATTTTTTGTCCAATAATGTTAGTTCCCGGAAAATAAACGTGGTTTCAGTTTAATTTCTCCATTTAATGTGTAAATAAATGAACTCATGACTAATAAACTCCCATGAATGAAGCGCTAAGTATGTGTTTGTGTGCTGTGAGGACTGCGCTGCTGTAACTAACATCGCAAAAGTTATGAAAATCATACATTCAGCTCGGTTTATATTCACACACTCCGCTGTAATTCAAATATTTAATCATTGTAGATGTGAACAGTGTGCAGTGAGAGAAAAGGATGGTTTTTATTGACTTTAGACTGTAAAAGTTTTAAAAGCCGACAACTGATTTTTAAAGTGGTGCAGCGCTGCCACCTGGCGGAGAACAGAGGAACTGCAGCCCGCCTGTTTCATAACTGTATACTTACTCGCTGGAATTAACAGCGTTTTATTGTTTACTTTCAATAAAATCTGAGTATTAATGTTGTAGAAATGGGGAAATATCGCTGAGCCGAGATAAAACTGAAGCTTATAGCAGCGCACCATACAGACTACCCAGTTTGCAGCTATGTTGCTTGGCAACCTTAGTTTGAAGGAGGACGAGGTGCTTGGCAACGGTTGCTAAGCAGCGACTGGTTGAGCGCTGTGTACCTTTTGTTATTTTTTTTACCAACAGATTATTACTATTACTGCTAATAACATTAATATTATTACTACTAACAATAACAACAACAACATTACTAATAATCGGTGGTGAAAATGGGCCGGAACCTCACTGCGGGGCTAAAAGTCAGGCCGGTGCCGCCTTTCGGTTCAGATTTTAAAATCTAGGCAATTGTTTTTATAAAGATATACGCCACATATAGCTGTTTACACTGCTTTTAAAGTTCCATGTTCAGGGTACAAAGTCGTTTAGGAGTTGTAATGCGACTCTTACTACATGCTAGCTAACATTGCAGCGCACTGAGACATCATCATAAGACTGATCTCACCAAAATAGCCCAAACAAACCCGCAGGCTCTGTCCAGTGTGGTACTTTGGAGACATTTGAAAGTTTTTAGGCTGCTGTTTGAGTTGCTGGTGTTGGTATAGTGTTAAATAGTAGACTTGCATTCATGCAGAGTCATTTCAGTGTGCAAGAGTGCTAGCTCACTTAGCATGGATGTAGCATTATTTGTATTTTGATGGCTGAACAGCTTCGTAATTCAGGCAATACAGTGACATTTTGGTGAAAAATGTACAAAAGACAAAACGTACTGGCTTTGGAATATTTTTACCGCGGGACACAGTAGTGGCAATTTTCGGAAATCTCATATTTTTTCCTCAGAGAGAAAAACAACCTAGACCAGGAGTTCCTAACATGGGCATGATGTCGGCTACAGAATACGACACAAGTTTGAGATTGAAAGAACCTGATATTAGGCCTTCAACTGTATTGTGGCGTCCCACCACTGGCCGAGCTGCCGTATGAGCAAAGAGGGTCTCGATAGGACAAACATTTATTACAGTTGTTGTTATCTTAACAGTGTTGGTTGTTATATTCTGTGTTGAGCCGTGGCACAGTTGGTGTTGGGTTGGTCTGCCATGGAGTAGAACTGTATGGCTCAAAGTGACCTGCTATCCCAGCCACTTTGTTAGCACAGAGCGGCGGTTCTCCCTTGCACCCTTTTCAATGAAAGAGCATTCGTTGTTAAAGCAAAATGTTTCCTGCGCTGCCTTCTTCGCTGATGCTACACTGGTGTCAGAAGTAGGATAGTGCCCCTCCTCGGAAATAGATCTTCCCGATGTGACGTTTAATTACAGATGCTTTAATCGGTAAGTAATTCAACAGTAACATTTTGAGTAACACTAGATTAAGTACTAATCTTAACTTAGGACAGAGTGGAAACAAAAGCTCTTGAACAATCAGCATTTATTTGATTGTTTTGAACAGATCACATTCTTTGTAATTTGTACATTTTCCAAAAGAGATAAATGTTTGTACCTCAGACTCATCAGATCTCATACTGAGTGGGTTTTATTTGTAGTGTTCATCAGTAACAGAGAACCAGGGCTGCACGATACAGGCAAAATGTCACACTGTGATTATACTGCTACACACTGCGACTCGAAACATAATAAACACATATCCTATGATGTGATGTGGTTAAAGACTGGTCTGCATTACTTTGCTGACAGCACACATTAAAAACCTGTGCTTGGTTGATCATTTGCATACAGCAGCCTTCTGAGATATCAGCACTAACAGTTCAATATATCATGCAGCCCTTGCCTGAAGACAGTAAACCATTTCAAATAAACCATATGACCTAAAACGTACCGGATATGACCAGCATGGTTCCCTCCCCACCTTCTGTACTGGTCTTACTACATCACTGTTAAAGTGATAGTTCAGTGAAAAATTTCTCCTCTTCAAATGCAGTCGATCAGTTACTAAAGGTCTGGTGTCTGAAGTTGACTTTTTTAGGCGTAGGCAGCTGTAGGCTGAGTGGGCGGGGCTAAACTGCTGTAGGCTGAGTGGTGGAGCTAAACTGCTGTAGGCTGATTGGTGGAGCTAAACTGCTGTGGGCTAAAATAATTTTTTAAAAAAGCGAGGCAAATTCAGTTTTCTTCTAACAGCTTGGGTTAACAACTAAGTGAGTGTGTGATGATTTAGGCAGTTAGCATCATGCTAATTGGTGGGGCATAAACCTTCAATATAAATAAACTGCAGAAAGTTCCATTACTAGGCTTGTTAGCTACATTAGCCTCATAGCTCCAGTGCTAAAACTAAAGAAGCAAACTTCAGACACCAAACACGTCTCGCTTGATCGACTACATTTGGAAACCGGGCAGATTTTTCATCTATTCCAACGATTCCTTCAGATCCTTTACTTTAACTTCCCACCTGCCCACAGTTGAACTTGGTAACAATGCTAAAATCCTAGCAGAGCACAGAGCCGCTCGGTGGCTGACGAGGGCCGGAGAGCTGCTGAGTAAAGTATATAAAAACTAAATGAAAAATGCTGCATGTTACAAGCCGGTTATGTATTGTGCTGTAGATTATAGGCTGGTTGGTATGTGGAGCCACTGTCTGATACATTTCTGCTAGAAATATTTTGGCAGTTTAAAAAGTGGAGAGTGGAGAAGTGGAAACGAGTTTTCTCACAGTATGTTAAAATTAAAGGCCTCTAACATCCGTCACACTAACACAGCCCATTATTCGATTATTCGGTTATTCGATTCGCCTGACCAACATTTATCCACTGTGGATTAGGAGAGAGTGAGGCACAAACTAGTATGGGGTAAAACCTAGCATGGATACTATGTGTAGTTAGACATAGAATGTGTTTTTGGTCATCTTCTTGTGTTCCCATAGCAACATCATCTGCTAATCTGGACAGCAATCAGACTGATGTTTCTCCAGATCGACAGGTAAGACTGTTTTTGTACCATAAAAATAACTTTTACTTAGTTTAACAGTGAGAGCTAGTCAGGCTAAAGTACAGCCCCCACACAGGGGGGTTAGTTTAACAGTGAGAGCTAGTCAGGCTAAAGTACAGCCCCCACACAGGGGGGTTAGTTTAACAGTGAGAGCTTGTCAGGCTAAAGTACAGCCCCCACACGGGGGGGTTAGTTTAACAGTGAGAGCTTGTCAGGCTAAAGTACAGCCTCCACACGGGGGGGTTAGTTTAACAGTGAGAGCTTGTCAGGCTAAAGTACAGCCTCCACACGGGGGGGTTAGTTTAACAGTGAGTATTTTATTGTATTTAAAGTAGAAATCTCATGTGGTTCAAATGAAACAGAATTTTATGTTTAAATAATTATGTTTGCATCAAATTAATATCCTTTTAAGCAGGTGTCAACTAGGCCCTCAGTCTGTTGTAATGTGGTAAACTGTGGCGTTTGCACTCAGTCCACATTTGGCTGAATTGTTCATAAGCATGTGCTGGTAATAAAGGTGATGTTTTCATTGCTTATATAACACTATTATCACTTTTGCTCAAATACTTTTGAAATGATTTAGTAAAGACTGAAATCTGTTAGATGTGTCCTGCTCTCTCCTACACGTGCACTAAGACATGCAGATGTTCTGATCTGGTTCTGGGATTTTTAACACTGTTCATGAACCTACACTGAAGACCAGCTGTGCAGGCTGTTACGTCCCAGAGAATTTGGCCAAAGACCAGCTTTGGTGATCAGGACGACAGTCGTAAACAGAAGGTACGTCACATTAGCTGGTTCTGCTTCTGTACCAAAGCCAACATTGCGGCTGCCAAAGAGAATCCAACTGGATGACAGCGACGGCTAATGAAAGAAATCAGATACAAAATCAAAGGCACTAAATAATAAATGGCACTTCAAACAGAAAAGGCTAAAAAAAGGTATGTGCAAAAGTTTTAGAGAGAATAACTCGGTATTGCATGTATAAAAAGAGGTGTAGGAAAAACAAGGTATGAAACGCATCACTGTATGTCTCAACATACACAGAGCTGCTGAGGTGGGAACAAGTCACAGGTAAGTCTCAGGTCTCGACACTCCGGTCCCAATTATCGAAGAGTCGAGTCCCAATTTTTAAAGAGTCGAGTCCCAATTTTCGAAGAGTCGAGTCCCAATTTTCAAAGAGTCGAGTCCCAATTTTCAAAGAGTTGAGTCCCATGTTAAGTCCAGAGTCAGTACAAGTGATTACGCATTCTTAAGGAAGTTTAATGCTATTTCAACACTGAACACCGAAAACGATGGTAACGCTAATGTTACCTTTTCATGACAGCGTGTTAGTAGTGTAAAACTTTAAAAAGTTTTTTTTAGCTTTAAAAAAATACTGACAGGATTAAAATAAAAACTAACTCAGCAATAAAACCATGTTAGCAAACGAAACTACCGCTAGTTTGAATTGATTTTAGACGACAAAGAACAGAAACCAAAATGGTGGCGTTGAACAAAGTTCACTGCTGTAGGCTGAATGGGCGGGGCTAAACTGCTGCAGGCTGAATGGGCGGAGCTAAACTGCTGTAGGCTGAATGGGCGTGGCTAAACTGCTGCAGGCTGAATGGGTGGGACTAAACTGCTGTAGGCTGAATGGGTGGGACTAAACTGCTGTAGACTGAATGGGTGGGACTAAACTGTTGTAGGCTGAATGGGTGGGACTAAACTTCTGTAGGCTGAGTGGGTGGGACTAAACTGCTGTAGGCTGAATGGGTGGAGCTAAACTGCTGCAGGCTGAATGGGTGGGGCTAAACTGCTGCAGGCTGAATGGGTGGGGCTAAACTGCTGTAGGCTGAATGGGTGGAGCTAAACTGCTGTAGACTGAATGGGTGGAGCTAAACTGCTGTAGGCTGAATGGGTGGAGCTAAACTGCTGTAGGCTGATTGGGCGGGGCTAAACTGCTGTAGGCTGAATGGGTTGTTTCTAGCTTATGGAGGTGAACTTCACTTCTCATGCTTCACTTATTTTGTGAAATAAAATAAGCAGTGTAACCATAGTAACCGACATCTGACAAGGTTGCTGTCCTTTAGATTTACATGAGATGTAAAATGTTCGTGTGAAATGAGTCCTTTCACACGAACAGTACGCGTCTACAGACAGACCCCCCTACATGTTTCTTCTGCTTCAGGTCTCGAGTCGTTTCGAGTCCAAGTCAAAGTCCGAGTCAAGTCTTTTTAGCTTTTGTCAAAGTCAACAAATTTGTGACTCGTTTTCACACCTCTGCGGAGTTGCCAGTTTATTAGGTACCTAATAAACCAGCAACACTGTGTATATGTTTGCATATAAGAATAAAAATGGTTATACTGGTGAACCTCAGTCTTTAGCTCCTGTGGATAAAATAACATCACCAGTTCTCTCTCTTTCTGAGAGAGATCTTCCAAGTGTACCAAAGTACGATAAGAAAAAGGCAAGAAGGTGGAGCACCTCAGTGTAACGTAGTCCAGTAAAGAGTCTGAGGCTGTCTTCACATCTACATCTGGGCATCCGTTCGAAATGCACCTCTTCCCATTGAGAGCAATACACATGGCAAGTTCTACAGTTTTGAAGGAACATCCTCTGATACTACCATGTGTGAGCCAAGAAGAGATGGTCTGGGGGGGCTTCAGTCAGTCACAGTGATGTTGAGCAAGAGAGAGGAGGAAAAAAGGCTAGGAAGGGGAATTTCATTGTTTTTTATTGCTGTATGTTTGTCATTCAGAGTGGTTTGGTGTGAAATGGTTCAGATGGTACAGTGGTGGTGAGAGGAACCAGGGGTCGCCATGACTACAACACAAATATAGACAATTTCTTTACTATCCAAAACCACCAGTGAACCTACACGAGTCTTCTGAGCTTATATGGAATGTTGATGATGGAAAAATAGTGGAAAACCTGAAATATTAAGATTTCTCTGATATGAACAGATTCTAAAAATACATTTTAGGCTGTTATAAAACAACAGTGTCTTTATAATCGTTTCATGTAATAACTTTCTGTGGCGGAGCTCTTAGCGGCTTCGGGATGTCTGGTTCCTGTCACCACCACTGTAAAGAACTGTGTTTGTAAGATTCTCTAGAACGGAGCATTTCAAACCAAACCACTCTAAACGACTCTGTTTACATCTTAAACAGTTAATTGTGCAGGAATTTTAAGACTTCAGTGAAATTCCCCTTTAAGCATCTTATCAAAGATGCTAATGAATATAAATAGCGCGTAATCAACTTGATGGACACCAAACGTCCTTCTAGAAGCGCTCTAATAACACTGTCTTCGTCCTCCTTACTCTCTCTCTCTCCTCATTCTGTGCTCAGTCCGTCCGTCTCACTGACTCTGCAGCCACTCCACTCTGAGCTCAGCCACTTCTTTTCCGTACCAGTCGTGCAGTTTGGAGAAGCAGCCTGTCCCGGGGGATACGGGGTCTTCCAGAGACCCCCCGGGGGTTTTCCTGCGTGGGGGGATGGGTGGGGGTCTGACCGAATCCCCTCGGCTTTCCGCCTCCCAGACAACTCCGGACCCCTCACCCACTCCGTTAGACAGACCAGCCGGTTTATTCCAGGACACTCCATTTTCCTTCCCGGGAATGAGCGACAGCAGTCCCTCTTCAGGAGACCCTGTGGGTTGCGTCAGGGGTCCCTGCAGGCTGGTGGGTTTGGAGCGTCCTCCAGTTCCTCCCTGCACCTGCAGGAAAGAGTGATCAAGTCATCTAACGATTATTACGACAACTAATCAAGTAATCAATGTCTTCTTAAGGCATAACAACAAATCACATGCAACTACACATTTCCACCACAGAGGTCTCCAAACCCCCAAACCTTATATAGTTTAACTTGTAGATTCTAAAATACACCCTTACATTTTTTTCTTATTGCAAGACAGACCAGGGGAGAATTATGCACTTAAAATTGTCAGGGTATCTGTGAATTCAATGTAATACTTTTAAGACATTTTTAAAACCAAATTTTGACCAAAACCTGTTACAGTCACAAAAATCAGCAGCATTTAATACGGAACACTTCTCGTCATAAATGGCATTTGCTTAAATGAGCGCCGGTGCAATGATAACGCTAACTTTTGCTTGGCCTTACAATTTGTACCATAAATTTAAATTTTTTTTTCCCCCAGTTTTCTCCCCAATTTAGTCGTCTCCAATTCCACCCACTAGTTAAGACTCCCCCAATCACACGAAACCACCAGCGCTAGGAGGGCGAGGCTAACACAGGCTTCCTCCGAGACCTGTGAAACCAGCCACCGCATCTTTTTGAACTGCCGCTAATGCAACGTCATTAGACAGCCGAACGCGCTCGGAGGAAAGCGCCAACCGCCAGGTCTGCTAAGTCTGCAAACAGACGCCTGCGCTGGCTAGCATCGCGTTCGAGTGATGGGGGAAAAAGGGGGGTCCATCCTACCCACCCAGAGAGCGAGGCCAACTGTGCTCTCTTGGGCTACTGGCCACGAAAATTATTCCAAGAGCCTGTTAGCCGTCTGCCGAGCTATTCAGGCAAGACCTATTTTACCAAAACATTTTGCTTCTTATACACATTTAAATCATATACTTCAAATTTGTAGCCACAAATACTTCAATTTACTTGATAGACAAGCTGGTAACGGCAACCATATATTAAAAATGTTACTACAAACATGTGCTTTAGTGAGATCCTGCTGGTGTGGGTTTCCTCTATTTCAGTGATGCTCACAAGAGTGACTTAACTGCTAACAGCTCCCTCTTGTGGAGAATCTGCTGAACACAGCTTTATAATGACCATAACTTATAACGATCATCATCTTTTACAGTAGTGTGCAAACGTTTGCATCAAATTACATGTTTTGTTGATGAGGGAGAATAAAATTAATAAGATTAATATCTTCTCTACAGAAAACATCACATTTTAATGTAAAATTACGATTTTTTTGCTGAATTTAAATGGAAAAACATAAATGTGGCCTGCGCAAAAAGTTACGACACATTTTATACTGTATGTTTTATTATTTACACTATGTTTAACCAAATAATGAAGAAGTGTGCAATAAAACATGCTGAATACCACCTACTTATCTGGGGAGTTAAAACCTTTGCATACAACTCTATACGCATATATCCTGCCTTTTTTAAAGGTACCTCTGCTATTTCGCAGGAGCATTTTGTTCACTTTTCACATATTATATAGAATCGATCTAGATATTTAATAGATACGTATATAGATATACAACATAGATGTTATATAGACATTTTCTGCCATGCTCAATTTGAATTGCATTCATGTAAACATTTAAAAAAAAGGCTAACCTGCGACTTCTTGGGCTTGTTCTTGGCCTGCTGTGACAACGCCCCCTGCTGGGCCTCCTCCAGCTGCCTCTCCAGCTCACGCACCAGCAGCCTCATGTAGTCGAAGGTGGCGCGGGACAGCGCCTTCACCCACGACTCCATGGCGACCTGGCTCTCGGCGGCCAGCTTGTAGACGCGCGCTCGCGCGCAGTCGAAGCGGATGGCGAAGGCGAACTCCTCGGATTCGGAGTCGCAGAGCTCCACGGTGCAGCCCTCCAGGACGATCACGCCCACCGGCTCGCGGCTGTCGCGCTCCTCGAAGTAGAACAGCATGTTCCCCTTCAGCACGCACCAGCGGCGGTGATACGTCGGGTTCCGCTCGCCCTTCTTCCACAGGAAACCCGTCTTATCCGGCGGAGAGTTACAGGTGGCGTAGTGCGCCACGCTGCGCTCGTTCAGCTTCATGACTCGGAGAGCGGCGGAGGACGAGGAGATGGGGAGGCTGTCAAAGGGAGAAACAATCACTTATAAATTAGCCACTTATACACTTATTTAACCTCTTGTGTGAGTTAAACAAACTAATTAAAGTGAGATTAAATCTAATTTACCCAGATTTTTCTTAATGCTAATTGGTGTACATAAGCTTTCATTACTTATTAGCTACATTAGCTTTGTGGTTCCAATCCTAAAGAAAGAAAGAAGCTCCAAACATGTCTTGGATGACTGAGTATATCTGGAGTAAAGAGAGGAAACTGTTACATTAGATTATTCTTACTGAATTATTTCTTTCAGAGTAAATAATATCAGATCTACAACAAAAGTAGACCAGTTTATCAGTAACTGCAGGAGCACAAACAGATGGTTTTCTTCACAGAGATTCAGTTTCAGAAGGAATTCAGTTGTCGTCCTAAAGAACAATGTCAACATAAAGGGAATTTCACTGATTTTTCATATTTTCTGCATAATTCAGTGTTTGAGAGACTCAGATGTCTTTACAGTGGTGGTGATAGGAACCAGGGGTCGCCATGACTACAACACAAATATAGACATTTTATTTACTGTCCAAAACCACCAGTGAACCTACACGAGTCTTCTGAGCTTATATGGAATGTTGATGATGGGAAAATCGTGGAAAACCTGAAATAATGAATTTTCTTTGACTATTTTGCCTCACAACACCCTGCATGTATCCCTCCATTTCAAGATAACAGTGGATAAAATATTAAAAAAAGAAAATATTCAATAGTTTCAGCAAATTTTTTTTGTGGTAAATGTGTGTTTCTGGGTGATTAAGAAGTTTTCTTACGGTCTGGTGGTGAGTCCTGCACACTCGTGCAGCGTTCCCTCTTCACATCACCTGCTTACACTAAACCTCGCCATCACACACACCTCTGTGGAGATCACTGAAACACAAACACACAACAGATGAATGAGATGCACTGATTTCCTCTCTATACGCATCAGATGAGTGAAGATCCTTTCATTTCTATGTGAGGTTCAGGTGCACCAGGAGCATTATTTACTTATTATACACAAAAACATCCAGAGTGATTGTACATTAGGGGTGAAATCTCTGACCTCACAACAATCTGATTCAATACAGCGGCCCCGGAAAGTGTTTGGACACTTCAACTTTAACAAGGTTCTTCAGGTAAATTCATGAAATGTTGAACCAAATGATGCTTAAGAGAAAAACAATTTTAGCACAACATCAGACCGATGATGGACTCTTTACCTGGAGAAATCCTGGAGAAGAGCTTCAATCGCCAATACGACTGCACATATCGATTTTCACACTCAAAAACAATGATATTCATTTATTTTTTCCAAAATATGCAGAACAGATACTTCCCAGAAACTTATAATGATCAATTATAATCTAAATTCTAAAATTCCAGGTTCAAGCACAGATCAACGACACTTCTCGCTGCTCTCTATTTATTCCTATTTACTCTCATGTGTTTCTGTACAAATAAACAGACTTTCACACAGCACTGTATGTGGTCTGAAGGTCAAAACTACATGGACTGTTAGAAATGATGCCCATGGTCAGTTCACAGACCGTCTACTACAGCCGTGAGTCCACTCCGCAGCTTCCTCATTGCATGAGTAAACACCACGCTGGTCAAACTCAGTGGCAAAAAAACGGCCATAACAGCTGAAGATGAATCTTTTCCATAGAAGTAGTTTTCCCAGAGCATCACACAGCCTGGATCAGGGGTGCACAAACTTTTTACACCAACAGCACACCGATGAGGAAGGCAGCCTGGCTTTAATAACAGAGCTAAACAGTTTTTATATAATCATATTATAATTGTGTAAAAGATGTCAGTCCTGTATCAGTTCCTCTGGTGCAGCGACAGTGCAGGCAGTGCTAACTGAAAGGTGCCGAAGGTTCCTGTTTTTATGTTACAAAACAAACAATAAAAAATAGGGATGGGAAGTTTAGGCCGACGCTGATGTCCAATTTACATACATATCTGCTGATGGAGAAACACAAACATTCATCAGAGTCAGAATTTCAGTGCAGTAACCCAGCGCCGCCTGAACATCCTGCTCTTCTGGATTTCCATAAACACATCAGCAAATATCGGCGATATTTTTTAAGCAATTATCGTCCGATACCGATACGATCGTGCATCCCTAATAGACACATGTTTGTAAGCTTATATGTTCATGGCCATTTGACAGACTCTGACACAGCTTATTAACACTTATATGGATATGAAATACTGTTTTTCATATAGTTTATCATGTTATACCATTAATAGACACATAAACTGTAGTTTATCATACATTTAATGCTGTTTATCATATAGTTTACAACATTTATAGCATTAGTAAACACAAAAACTATAGTTTATCATATCTAATATTGTTTATCATATAGTTTATCACATTTAGACCATTAGTAAATACATAATCTGCAGTTTATCATACATTTAATGCTGTTTATCATATAGTTTACAAGATTTATACCATTAGTAAACACAAAAACTATAGTTTATCACATATCTAGTATTGTTTATCACATTATGCCATTAATAGACACAAACTGTAGTTTATCGTATATTTAACACTGTTTATCATATAGTTTATCATATTATACCATTAGTAGACACAAAAATTGTAGTTTATCATTTCTTTAATGCTGTTTGTCATATAGTTTATCACATTTGTACCTTTAGTAAACACATAAACTGTGGTTTATCATACATTTGATGCTGTTATGTAGTTTTTCACTGTTTATCATATAGTTTATAATATTATACCATTAGTAAAAATATAAACTGCAGTTTATTATACAGTTAATGCTGTTTATCAAATAGTTTATCACATTTAGACCATTAGTAAATACATAAACTGTAATTTATCATACACTTGATGCTGTTTATCATATAGTTTATCATATTATACCACTAGCAGGCCTTTATCTGTGACCCATAAGCTGTAATAAAGATTACTAGCCTATATTCGCGATAAACTGCTGGCTGAAATGACACATAACAAAACTGGGGTGAGCAGACTGGAGCGTTACTGCCCAGTTCTGGGATTTTACACCAGCTGAACACAGTAAACACAGCATCGACAGTGTTTTGAGACCGACTTAGCCGGGTTAACAGTCATCAAACCGCCCGCAGACACAAAGTTTGACCCAGCATCACCTAATCTAGATCTGTCTGGAGTTTACTTTCCTCACAGACGGACTACAGACGGAGAATAAACAGAACAACGGCGGGGCTGAATTTAGCCCCCTATTTAGCCCGCAGCGTCTTATCCGAACTCTCCGGTCCACCTTAAACAGTGCAGCTGTTGCACTCTATCGCCGGAGGTGCCAGAGCAGCACTGCGGCACCATTTAAGGTGGACCGGAGAGTTCGAATAAAGAAGCTTCAGCCTCGTAGATGAAGCGCAGTGATAATGTCCTCAAAAACAGCAGCTCCGGTTTACAACCCGGGTCTCATCAGCTCGGACAGCTTCGGTAAAACGGTCAGGAAAACGGTGAAGACTGAGAGCTGGACTGGACTAACGTACCGAACACGATAAACAGAGTGAGGGTAAAACTATTAAAGCAGTCATATGAGAGCAAACACGGGGTCTATGGTGTTTAAATGGGCCCAGCTGCAGCTGAGTGAGACCGTTTCAGGGTTATCTGTGTGTTTTTGTGTGTATTTGTGTGTATTTGTGTGTTTTTGTGTCTTACCGTCAGCGCTGGGTCCCCAGTCCGCCTCCTTTCGCTGCTTTTGTGAAGATTTTGCTTTGCTTCGTTTCCGCTCGGCTCGTCACGTGACGCAGACGTCATCATCGGAGAGCATTAATTCTGGTGTGTTGTGATAATTCTTCTGCTTTTTTACCAGTTTGACCCGATCGACTCTGAGGTCACCGATCCGGCGTTGTAATAAATGTATTAAAACACTGCTGTTATTCCATTTATATTCTTCTTCTTTTTCTCCTTTTTCTGCCAGATTTTTGTCCACTAACTCGTCCCGCGGTTTCTGCAACCCCTGGGATATCATAGCGACCACCAGCAACCACCTGGCAACCCCCTGGGATATCATAGCAACCACCAGCAACCACCTAGCAACCCTCTACCAACCACATGTGATATCATAGCGACCACCAGCAACCACCTAGCAACCCCCTGGGATATCACAGCAACCACCAGCAACCACTTAGCAACCCTCTACCAACCCCCTGGGATATCACAGCAACCACCAGCAACCACTTAGCAACCCTCTACCAACCCCCTGGGATATCATAGCAACCACCAGCAACTACCTAGCAACCCCTTTGGATATCATAGCAACCACCAGCAACCACCTACCAACCCCCTGGGATATCATAGCAACCACCAGCAACCACCTAGCAACCCTCCAACAACCCCCTGGGATATAATAGCAACAACCAGCAACCACCTAGCAGCCCCCTGGGATAGCAACCACCAGCAAACACCTAGCAACCACCCAGCATACCATAGCAACTGCCTAACAACCCCTAGCAACACTTTTTCTGCCAGATTTTTGTCCACTAACTCGTCCTGCTGTTTTCAAGATATCAACACCATTCCAACTCTGGAATGTTCGATCTGATCAGGAATGGCGCACCTGTACGCAGCTTTTTCATCCAACATACAGTTTTGTACACTCTTTGTTAAATGACAATTTTTTCCCCATAGGAATGAATGAGGGCAAAAGTTTGTGCACCCAATTAAAATGAACCCTATTAACCATGTGAGATATCATAGCAATCACCAGCAACCACCTAGCAACTCCCTGGGATATCATAGCAACCACCAGCAACCACCTACCAACCCCCTAACAACCACCTGGGATGTCATAGCAACCACCAGCAACCACCTAGCAACCCCCTGGCATATCACAGCAACCACCAGCAACCACCTAGCAAGCCTCTAACAACCACCTGGGATATAATAGCAACAACCAGCAACCACCTACCAACCCCCTGGGATATCACAGCAACCACCAGCAACCACCTAGCAACCCCCTGGGATATCACAGCAACCACCAGCAACCACCTACCAACCCCCTGGGATATCATAGCAACCACCAGCAACCACATACCAACCCCCTGGGATATCATAGCGACCACCAGCAACCACCTAGCAACCCTCTAACAACCACCTGGGACATCATAGCAACCACCAGCAACCACCTACCAACCCCCTGGGATATCATAGCAACCACCAGCAACCACCTAGCAACCCCCTGGGATATCATAGCAACCACCAGCAACCACCTAGCAACCCTCCAACAACCACATGGGATATCACAGCAACCACCAGCAACCACCTAGCAACCACCTGGCATACCATAGCAACTGCCTAGCAACATCCTAGCAACCATTCTCAAATTGCTTAAGCTGTGCAGTCACTGCATTTTCTTCAGGAACCGCACTGTTGGCTGTTCTTTAATGTCGGAGGTGATTTGGAGGTTACGGCTTCACCAATATGACAGAACTGATTCTCTCAGCTTATCTAACAATAAGATGACGAGACCAGATTGATGTAATTGATTCAATATAAATTCACATATTGGAATCTATTTCACTGTGGCAGAAATCATCTTCTGGTTATCTTTTGGTTTCTGGAAACCAGTTTCTGCTCTGGGTTAATACACTCCTGTTCAAACATTTGGAACCACTTAACATTATTTATGAATTATGTAGCATTTTTTATGCTAGTTTTATTCAGTGTAATGTGATGTGTCGACTGATATACTGTAATCATCCATTTCCAGTAGTTTCTTGCTTCTTTCTTAAGATTTATTAATTCATTTTGGAATATGGGGCATTCTAGTGTATTCGCTTCATTCAGCCATGATGTTATACAGCTTTGTACTTTATTTTAGGTTCATTTATAGCTCTGTTTATATTTCTGGACACATCTAACATTTCGACAGTGTTAAACCTCAGTTGTACCAGTATTACACCATATCATATTTACAGTCAGATTAGTTGTAGTATCATATTAGAATTATTTTATGTCTGTATCTGCAAAAATTGGTTTCATATTATTGAAGACCGTGATTCCAAACTTTTGATTGGGAGTATATACTGCAATTAATTCGACATGATCAAATCACTTTAAATTATACATTTATACAAACAGAAATTATTCAAACCATAATTGTAAACTAGGGCATATCATTCTTATTGGCGATTCACATGAACTGTCCTTCATGTGAATCTCCATTAGCTTAGTGCTAACATATTACTAGAATTCCACAGGGGGGCTAGCAGAAACTAGCATTATTGTAGAGGAATTTTTTCCTAGTTTTTGACAGTTTTTACTTTTTTGGCTCTAACTGAAGACCTAGTGCTAGCTGTCACAGCTCGCCACTGATTCTCGCAAATTATTACTCTTATATCAGTATTATTAGTCTCATGAACACTTATATTTCATCTAATGAATGAATATATGATGTTCAGAGCAGGGGCTCTCCACGTTTTCCACCTCAAGAATCACCTATCTGTCACTACAATACAAGAAGGCCCACAAGAAAAACAAAAAAAGCTTTAAAAAGTCATTTTTGGGAAATTTTCATATGCCATACATTCACCTATCAGGCATAACATTATGACCACCTCCTTGTTTCTACGCTCATTGTCCATTTTATCAGCTCCACTTACTATATAGGTGCACTTTGTAGTTCTACAGTTACAGACTGTAGTCCATCTGTTTCTCTGATACTTTGTTAGCCCCCCTTTACCTGTTCTTCAGTGGTCAGGACCCCCATGGACCCTCACAGAGCAGGTACTATTTGGGTGGTGGATCATTCTCAGCACTGCAGTAACACTGATGTGGTGGTGGTGTGTTAGTGTGTGTTGTGCTGGTCTGAGGGGATCAGACACAGCAGTGCTGCTGGAGTTTTTAAACACCTCAGTGTCACTGCTGGACTGAGAATAGTCCACCAACCAAAAATATCCAGCCAACAGCGTCCTGTGACCACTGATGAAGGACTAGAGGATGACCAACACAAACTGCAGATGAGCTATCGTCTCTGACTTTACATCTACAAGGTGGACTGACAAGATAGGAGTGTCTTATAGAGTGGACAGTGAGTGGACAGAGTGTTTAAAAACCCCAGCAGCACTGCTGTGTCTGATCCACTTGTACCAGCACAACACACACTAACACACCACCACCACGTCAGTGTTGCTGCAGTGCTGAGAATGATCCACCACCCAAATAGTACCTGCTCTGTGAGGGTCCATGGGGGTCCTGACCACTGAAGAACAGGTAAAGGGGGGCTAACAAAGTATCAGAGAAACAGATGGACTACAGTCTGTAACTGTAGAACTACAAAGTGCACCTATATAGTAAGTGGAGCTGATAAAATGGACAATGAGTATAGAAACAAGGAGGTGGTCAGAATGTTATGCCTGATTGGTTTATATCACTGAACATTAAATATCAATAGATTAGGCTTATTTTACACCTGAAATCAGGCAGAATGGTCGCAAATTAAGATACACTTTTCACTCGCAAGTGGACGACTGATACTTCGGGGCAGTGTTTCATGTTTCTAGAGACACAAAGAAGGTAAAAATACATAAAACATCTTTGTCCATTATTGTTACGTGGCTTGTATTAATAATGTTTGAGAACAATTTATATTTCTTTCTTGTTACATCAATATCCTTCACTGACTATATCACAAAGTACCTTCACTGGCCCATCGTGGACCTCTTGCTCCTCATCAGTACTGCCCTGAGGACCACCAGAGGGTGGTTCGCAGCCCAGGGGTTGAGTAAACCTGCTCTAGAGGAGACTCCACAGGTATTCAGATTCAGAAATGGAGGAATTCAGGGACTCATCACCACTCAGGACACCACGTTTCAGTCAGATTTGGTATTTAATATGGGAAATAAAGGAGAAAACGAAAAGCTTTGAGAGAATCGCTATGGTGGAAGAAGAAGAAGTCACCCTTCATCCCCAATATATTACACACATCTACTCTGCCTATGCTATGTACACGACAGCCCGATACACAATGTGGAAGGAAGAAATACATATTTATAACAGAGATTACAGGTAATGACAGATTCATTTACTCCACTTAACAACTGAACCATCCACAAAAACACATCCATACATACGTACTCGCATGCACACACCTCCTGTTCTGCTACTGTAAAGCAATAGTGCGGTAAAAAGTCGAAATTCCACAGTTTTTCCACCTTATTTCAAATGTAGCAGGTCAGCCAAGACATGTACAGCCAAAATTCAGGCCTTGAGGTGGCGGCTGCTACTGTGTTTCGCTATGCTAATGTACTTTAGTCCATGTTTACAGGTAACAGTGTGTGCTACAGTGTCAGAAACCACATAATCAAGTCTATTAGAGATACTGAACAACTCCGCATGGTTTGAGGTGAGAATGTGACGATCCAGGCATGCAGTTAGCACCATGCTAATCACTAACGTAAGCTTTCGTTATGGCTAAGTTAGCCTCGTAGCTCCAGTGCTAAAACTAAAGAAGCGAACACGTCTTGGCTGACGCACTACGTTTGTGGAGAAGGAGAAAAGTGTGGAATTCTTACGTTTTTTTGCCAAACTATGGTTTTAAATTGAACACAGGCTCTTTGACTCAGTGATAACAGAAAAGACCACAGGCTCACTTCAGCAAAGACTTCTGGGAGACTGATTTGCGGCGGGTGGGATTAGCAGAAGTCCAAAGCTCGCGGTTTTCCCACCCTGCTCTCAGTCTGGATCCCAGTGCTATATGGAGACGCTCCTCAAATCCCCCCAAAGAGCTGAATCCCTCAGCAGCCAGATGGTAAAGGAATAGTTCAGTCAATAAAAGCTAACGCTGCTAACAACAAATGAAACTGGTACTAGCATTCACTTACTGTTAGCCACGTCAGCCTGTTTGCTAACTCCTTTAAAACCTCTCATACAGAGGCTACTGAGAACGTTACTAAGGCTAAGGCTGCACTATACATCATCTGTTAATGGTTACCACAATATTGGCATTCTAGCTTTCTAACCGACGACATTTCTGTGGGTGTTATGGTGAATAAAGGAATTCACCTAATCTGACAAAAAAGCAAATTATTTTAGTCAAAATAATGCAGACCGATCTTTAACCACGACACATTATTCATTCACCAGTGCGTATATAACGTACTGCAAGGTGTATTCTGATTACTGTATGTCCTCATTTCTACTAATTGCTAGTAAAACGGTGTTACAATGCCTCTTTCACATTACATGACTTTCAACGTTATTCCGAGTTCCTTTAGGGATCTACTGAACTTAAAAAGTTAGCATCAGAGTTTCTGATATGGGCAAGAAGGCGACCACAGAATGACACACAACTTCAGAGCTCCATGTAGAAGTGAAGTCATGGAATTCAGAAGTCATGGAACTGGGAAAAACGCCTCTCGCACCTGGAAAAACTTCCCAGTTCCCACTTGTTCATGAACGGATTTAATTTAGGAAGCATTACACTGGAGCTATGAGGCTAATCTAGCTAATAAGCAATGGAAGCTTGTACCCCACTAGTTAGTATGATGCTTACTGCACGCCTACACAGTGCCCTCAAACTGTGCTGAGATGTTAATACACTATCTTCAGCTATGCTAACGTACTTTTGTCCATCTTTATATATAACAGTGTGTCTGAAACAATATAATCAAGTCTATTAGAGATTTCTGAACAGCTCCACACGGTTTGAGGACAGTGTGATGCAGTTAGAAAACATAAGCCTCTATCACTTGTTAGCAGTGTTAGCCTCTTAGCTCCAGAACTAAAACTAATGAAGGAAACTCCTAACCTGTGTTGGCTGACTGGAAAACGGAGGAAACGGTGGAAAACCGATTTCTGGTCGAACTACTGCGTCGAGTAGTTGGTAAAATAGAAAATGCTTTGTGGAGTAACCCTCAGGCAGAAGATCTTCAGATCTTCAGGATTGGGGGTCCCTCTACTACAGCTTCGGTGGAGAAATGGCGAAAGGTTATTGAGTCTGCAGGTGTAACAGTGATGAATGTGTTGCAAGAGTGGACAGAAGGCCTGATTTAAACGCTGGGGGGAAATGAGAGATACAGTGCGCTCACCTCCATGTCAGTCCGTTTGTGGCTGTAAAGCCTCTCCTCTCTATCTTGGGGAAAAGCTCGACTCTCTTAAAGGAACTTTCCAGCGCCTTTTCAGCCTAATCTCTATCAGACAAAGATTTCGACACATTTACCTGAACTTGAAAAAGAGCCAAGTCTAAACTTATCATAGAAGCCAAAGGACAGTTGCTTCAGTTGCTGAGCTGTGGCTTCTATTATACTTTCATTTTGACTCAGCATAAGGAAATGTGTCAATCTGCAGCAACAGAAAGCACAACACAAAGGCTGCAGACAGAGATTAGTCCAAAAAGTGCTGACGTGTTCCTTTAAACTATGACAGTAGTTCTGCTTTTAGGCCAGACGGAGCTCGCCTCTCCACCCTGACCTCACGCAAATGAACCTGTAGAACATTCATATTCAGAAAACAAAAGATAAAACAAAAAAAACAACACTTAACATCAAACTATCCACATTATAGTCAGAATAATAAAGTCTTAATATCTCCAGTGTGGGGTGGGGGAGTAAATAAAGAACAAAAACAACACAAAAAAACTAAAAAATTAACACACGAAGTTAAGACAGTAGTGCTTAGCGATACAGGACCACAGGACTGTGAGAAGAAACCACTCCTCCAGTTGGTTCTTTAAGGCCTGGAGCACGTAGATTTCTCCAGAGACCGAAAAAAAACAAAACAAAAAACAAAAACACCACAAAGAAAGACCATCCATGTAAAGGAAAAAAGAAAATAACTAAATCAATAAAGTAACAATGAACAAAACAAACAGACGACAAAGACGTATCTCAAGTGTTCATGGATTAAAGAAACATCCTCACTTAGAAGTCCAGGGATTCCCAGTCACAGCGCTGGAGAACCCGTCACACTGCACACTGTAGTTTCCTACCGGCTCTAAAATCACAGGATCCTAATCACGAAAGGATTAAAGCCATAGTTTGGTAAAAGCTCCTTTCTCCAAATGTAGATCAGCCGAAGGATGTCTGATGTCTGAAGTTTGCTTTTTTAGCCTTTTTGTTGATTTTAAGGTTTATCTATCATTAGCTAATGATAGTGTCTCGTTAGCCGACTTGTTTTGCTTGTGTTATTAATTTTACTCCAGACGGACGTTAAAAAGGAATCTAGGCAGATTTTGAGAGGGGGGGAAACCCTTTTTAGCTGACCTAATCCAGCCACAAAGGTTAAACAAGCTGCCCCAGATGTGTATTCTCGTTAAAAGACCACATGTGGCCCCGCAATACTAAATGGAAGTCGCCTACCCAGCATCCCCGTTTATCCATGGTGTGCATAGTTTTGGTGCGAAAAAATTATGTTGGAAAATTTCAGCTTTTTTGATGTTTAAGTTCAAGATGCTGGAGTAGGACAGAGTGAGACAGAAGGTGGGACAGGAGGTGGGACAGGTGGTAAGACAGAATGGCACAGGAGGTGGGACAGGTGGGTCAGAGGAGGGCAGAAGATGGGACAGAGTGTGAGACAGCTAAAACTAAAAAACTTCAGACACTGCACGTCTTGTCTGATCGACTACATTTGACGTTAGGCTGGAAACTGTTGTAAACTTGATTTGTCACGAGCTAAGATTGGTTTAACGTTGTGTTTTAGAGCAGGGTAAACACTAAACTCTGCAGTGCAGGGGGTCTTCTAGTACTGCAACTGAGAACGACTCGTCTGGAGATGAACGTCTGGAGAGACGTTATCGGCTCCTGGTTCCTCTCCGCCGTCACCAACGCAAGGTTACAGCCGTCCAGGTCCGCTCTCCTCCGCAGATAAAGGGAGAGACATCAGATGACCTCCAGGCTTGTCCTCAGAGCTGATGGGTTAGACTAGACTCACGCTCTGAGGGGATTGGCTAGAGCGAGAGTCATGGGTGGTGGGCGTGAGGTCGCAGGGCCTGGTACAGACTGCTGAAGGACGGCCGGTCTCTGATGTCACGACTCCAGCACCGCATCATCAGCTCAAACAGAGAGGAGGGACACAGCGGAGGAGGAGAGAGATAGATCTGACAGAGAGAGGACAGAGAGAGGATAGTGATTTGTTAGCCTTTTAAATGGCCCACATTTTCATTGCTGTCTTAAAAAAAATCTTGCAACTTTACAGGAAAACTTTCTTAACTTTACTGAAAGTCCCTCTAACTAGATTTCAGACAGAGTATTTGACAGTTTCTATTGGTCTATTCATCATGTGTTTATACAGGGTAAAGGAAAGACAGATTTACCAATCATTAGTACAGAATCAGCCTTAGTAGTAGTTGAAGTTTAATTAGAGCAGGACAGAGTGGGAAGGTGGGACAGAGTGGGACACAGTGGGTTTGCAAAGGCAACAATGGGACCACTTTAGGAATACGCCCCTAGGGACTCTGATAAAAGCTATATTGGACAGGAGGTGGGACAGAGTTGGACAGGAGGTGAGACATGAGGTGGGACAGAGTGGTAATGTACATGAGACAGGAGGTTGGACAGGATGGGGGCAGAGTGGGACAGGAGGTAGGATAGAGTGGGACAGAAGGTGGGACAGCAGGTGAGACAGAGTAAGACAGAGTGGGACAATATGTGAGACAGAGTGGGAAAGGAGATAAGATGAAGTAGGACAGGGATGGACGGAATAGCACAGAGTGGGACAGGAGGTGGGACAGAGTAGGACAAAGTGGGATAATAGGTGGCCCAGAGTGAGATAGGAGCTGAGATAGAATGAGACAGGAGGTAGAACAGGAGGTGGGACAGAGTGGGACAGGATGTGGGATGAAGTAGCACAGAGTGGGATAGGAGGTGAGACGGAGTAGGACAGAGTGGGACAGGAGGTGGGACAGAGTGTGAGACATTAGGACAGGATGTGAGAGAGAATTATACCAGTGGTGAAACAGGAATCTCCACATACATACACAGTCCTACAACTCTTTATGAAAGTGAATAGGAAAAACCTAAATTCACGTTTTTGACCAGACGTGTTTTTTTGTATGTATTTTTTGTATTGTATTCTGTATGTATGAGAGGGTGAAGCTATAAACAGTAAGATGAGCAGGTGTGTGAGTGTGTGTGTGTGTATGAGTGTGTATGAGTGTGTGTGTACCTGTCTGCCCTGGTTCCTGAAGAACTCTCCGCTGTTCTCGATGACCTGCTCGTCCGTCAGAAGACTATAAGGCTGTTCTCTACACAGAGTGAAGATCTCCCACAAGGTCACACCGAAGGCCCACACATCACTGGCAGTGGTGAACTTACCCTGAAAAAACACACAGACGCTCAGTCAAACGCTATTATAACTACAGAAAAGCGTCCATGATATATTTTATCCCTTGTTATCCAGTTTAAATAAATAAAAAAGATTGAGGAGAAAAAGATTAATATCAGTTTCCCACAGTATTGATCTGGTATCAGTAACAAAGTGCCAAAGCCAGTATCGGTACTGATCCAACACTAATCTGAATGCACCCACCATTCAAACACCCATAAATTACTCTCCACGATGAACAAACCCAGAACACACACTCATATACACATTCTCTCGTGTCTCTCACCAGCAGGATGCTCTCCCAGGCCATCCAGCGTATGGGCAGCACGGCGCGGCCCTGTATGCGGTAGTAGTCACTGCTGTACAGGTTTCTGCTCATGCCGAAGTCTGAGATCTTTATGGTGAGCTGGCGGTCCAGGAGGCAGTTCCGCGTGGCCAAGTCACGATGGACGAAGTTCAGAGACGCCAAATACTTCATCCCTGACGCTATCTGGACCGCCATGTGCAACAGGTCTGTCATGCTATAGAGACACAGGTGATAAACCAATACCATCAATATGCAAAATTATTGATAATGCAAGCTTGTGGTGATTTTGGTTAACTGAATATGTCATCCTGTTCCTCAACCCAGTGTCAGCAACAAAGGCTTTGAACTGTTGCTACTTCAGTACACTAGGTGGCACCACTCTCTATATCCTGCATTCTGTGGACTGGTAATGTTGGAAAAAGGAAAAATTCCCTGCTTACTTCACAGCTGTTGCAACTCATAGCGTCTGTCTGCTATGGAGCTGTACTATTCTCTACTGAGCTGCAGCATAGAGCTGTACTTATTCTCTACAGAGCTGCAGTATAGAGCTGTACTTATTCTCTACAGAGCTGCCACCAAGGGCTGTACTAATTCTCTACAGAGCTGCCACCAAGAGCTGTACTTATTCTTTACAGAGCTGAAGCATAGAGGCATATTTATTCTCTACAGGGCTGAAGCATAGAGCTGTACTTATTCTCTACAGAGCTGCAGTATAGAGCTGTACTATTCACCACAGAGCTGCAGCATAGAGCTGTACTTATTATCTACAGAGCTGCAGTATAGAGCTGTACCTATTCTCTACAGAGCTGATGCACAGACCTGTACTTATTCTCTACAGAGCTGCAGTATAGAGCTGTACTATTCACCACAGAGCTGCAGCATAGAGCTGTACTTATTATCTACAGAGCTGCAGTATAGAGCTGTACCTATTCTCTACAGAGCTGATGCACAGACCTGTACTTATTCTCTACAGAGCTGCAGTATAGAGCTGTACTATTCACCACAGAGCTGCAGCATAGAGCTGTACTTATTATCTACAGAGCTGCAGTATAGAGCTGTACCTATTCTCTACAGAGCTGATGCACAGACCTGTACTTATTCTCTACAGAGCTGCAGCATAGAGCCGTACTAATTCACTACAGAGCTGATGCATAGAGCTGCACTTATCTACAGAGCTGCAGCACAGAGCTGTACTGTTCACTACAGAGCGGCAGCATAAAGCTGTACTTATTATCTACAGAGCTGCACCATAGAGCTGTACTTTTTATCTACAGAGCTGCAGTATAGAGCTGTACTATTCTCTACACAGCTGAAGCATAGAGGTGTACTTATTTCCTACAGAGCTGATGCACAGAGCTGTACTTATCTCTACAGGGCTGCAGTATAGAGCTGTACTAATTCTCTACAGAGCTGCAACATAGAGCTGTGCTAATTCTCTACAGAGATGCGGTACAGAGCTGTACTTATTATCTACAGAGCTGCAGCATAGAGCTGTATTTATTATCTATGGAGACAGCATAGAGCTGTACTTATCCTCTACAGAGCTACAGCATAGAGCTGTACTTATTTTCTATGGAGCTGCAGCACAGCTGTACTGTTCACTACAGAGCGGCAGCATAAAGCTGTACTTATTATCTACAGAGCTGCAGTATAGAGCTGTACTTTTAATCTACAGAACTGCAACATGGAGCTGTACTTATTCTCTACAGAGCTGCAGTATAGAGCTGTACTTATTCTCTACAGAGCTGCCACCAAGGGCTGTACTAATTCTCTACAGAGCTGCCACCAAGAGCTGTACTTATTCTTTACAGAGCTGAAGCATAGAGGCATATTTATTCTCTACAGGGCTGAAGCATAGAGCTGTACTTATTCTCTACAGAGCTGCAGTATAGAGCTGTACTATTCACCACAGAGCTGCAGCATAGAGCTGTACTTATTATCTACAGAGCTGCAGTATAGAGCTGTACCTATTCTCTACAGAGCTGATGCACAGACCTGTACTTATTCTCTACAGAGCTGCAGTATAGCGCTGTACTTATCTACAGAGCTGCAGCATAGAGCTATACTTATTCACTACAGAGCTGCAGCATAGAGCCGTACTAATTCACTACAGAGCTGATGCATAGAGCTGCACTTATCTACAGAGCTGCAGCACAGAGCTGTACTGTTCACTACAGAGCGGCAGCATAAAGCTGTACTTATTATCTACAGAGCTGCACCATAGAGCTGTACTTTTTATCTACAGAGCTGCAGTATAGAGCTGTACTATTCTCTACACAGCTGAAGCATAGAGGTGTACTTATTTCCTACAGAGCTGATGCACAGAGCTGTACTTATCTCTACAGGGCTGCAGTATAGAGCTGTACTAATTCTCTACAGAGCTGCAACATAGAGCTGTGCTAATTCTCTACAGAGATGCGGTACAGAGCTGTACTTATTATCTACAGAGCTGCAGCATAGAGCTGTATTTATTATCTACGGAGACAGCATAGAGCTGTACTTATCCTCTACAGAGCTACAGCATAGAGCTGTACTTATTTTCTATGGAGCTGCAGCACAGCTGTACTGTTCACTACAGAGCGGCAGCATAAAGCTGTACTTATTATCTACAGAGCTGCAGTATAGAGCTGTACTTTTAATCTACAGAACTGCAACATGGAGCTGTACTAATTCTCTACAGAGCTGCAGCATAGAACTGTGCTAATTCTCAACAGAGCTGCAGCATAGAGCTGTACTGTTCACTACAGAGCAGCAGCATAAAGCTGTACCTATTATCTACAGAGCTGCAGTATAGAGCTGTACTATTCTCTACAGAGCTGCAGCATAGAGCTGTACTATTCACTACAGAGCTGCAGCATTGAGCTGTACTATTCACTACAGAGCTGCAGCATAGAGCTGTCAGATTAAATGAAATTTTTAACTCTATCAAAACAAACATCTCAGAGCTTGTGTTTGTCCCATTTAAATAAAATGTGGCCAAAGAAAAAAAATGCAAAATGTTTGGCTTTTTTATGTCTTTACATATCACACAAACGTAACAACAGCACTGAGGAATCACGTTATTAACGAGAAGGGCAAATAAAATGGCAGAAACAGCCCCCCTTTGGCCTTAAAGAGCGACCTTAGAGGGATGATGAATAGAGGAGGATTACTCCAGACAGACCTGACGGAGGGGATGTTGTTGGCGTGAGTCAGTGTGCTCTCAATCTCTCTCTGCGAGAGGAACATGTTCAGGTCTCCGTTCTCCATGTACTCCGTGACCATGCACAGCGGGTCAGAGTGCACACACACACACAGCAGCCGGATGATGTTGGGGTCATTCAGACGAGACATGATCTTTATCTCCTTCAGGAAGTCGTTCCTAACAGAGAGGAGAACGACAGCACGGTCACTAGAGGGTTCAGAACAACCAGATCTGACATGTTCAATGATTAAGGAACCGTAATTACAGAGCAGTCTATGTACTTCTTGTTGGCATGCAGTCCTGTTAACCCTTGAAAGTCCGAACCTGAATAATTGTACAATTTTTGTTTGTAACTTTATTACTTTTGTAACGTTAATTACTTGGCTAGTGAGAAAAGCCTCTCTCCACTGTGCTGAACAATGAACAATGTAAGAGTATAAACACGTAAGAATGTAAAGCAGCTAAGGTTTCCTGGCTGACTCTGCAGAGAGAAATTCACAATAGCAGAGTTTCCTCCCTGCCAGGGGAAACCTAAAGGGCACGTCTGCACACGCACAGCCCCCAAAAACCTGCCCACAATGCCTCAGCTATGAACCTAACAAAAATTACATGACATCTGTATGAAATGCCCTTATTAAAAAAGCTGCTACATAGTTGTGCTATAGAGATTAAATACAGTGGATAGAGCTGCAGTACAGAGAAAGAGCTGCAGTGTAGAGCTGTAGTGTGTAGCTACAGTGTAGAGCTATATTACAGAGCTGTGTTACAGAGGTACATTTTAATTATATGCCATATAGAACTGTACTAATTCTCTACAGAGCTGAAGCATAGAGCTGTACTATATCTCTACAGAGCTGCAGCATAGTTGTACTAATTCTCCACAGAGCTACAGCATAGAGCTGTTCTTATTCTCTACAGAGCTGCATTAAAGATCTGTACTAATTCACTTCGGAGCTGCAGTGTAGAGCTGCAGTACAGAGTTGTACAAAGTTGCAGAATAAAGATTAAATATAGAGCCGCAGTCTCAGGCAGCACCAGAGAGCTGTAGAACAGAGCTTTATACAACTACAATATTATGTTGTATTGTTTACTATTATGTAGTATAAAGCAATAACATAGAGCTGTAGTATAGAACTGTAGTTTAGACCTACTTTATAGAGCTGACACATAACGCTGTAGTAATTCTCCGTAGATGTCTAGGATAGAACTTTACTAATTCTCTATGTAGAGCATGACAGAGCTGCAGTACAGAGCTGTGCAGAGCTACAGTACTGAGTTGCAGTATAAAGAAGTAGCACAGAGCTGTAGTATAAAACTACATTATCAATTGCACTACAAAGCAGTAGAACAGAGCTGCAGTACAGAACTGCAGTTTAGAGGTGCTTTATAGAGCTGACACATAACGCTGTATTAATTCTCTGTAGATGTCTAGAATAGAACTTCACTAATTCTCTATATAGAGCTGCACGACACAGCTGTAGTACAGAGCTGTGCAGAGCTACAATATCAAGTTGCAGTATAAAGAAGTAACACAGAGCTTTTGTATATACAGAACTGCAGTTTAGAGCTGCTTTATAGAGCTGACATAAAGCTGTATTAATTCTCTACAGAGTTGTAGGATAGAGCTGTACTACCTCTCTGCAACAGCTGTTTTATAGGAGTGGTAAAAAGCTGCATTAATTCTCTATAGAGCACTGGTGAAAAGATTCTATATAGAGCTGTACTAATTCTCAGTAGAGCAGTGGGATAGAGCTGCACTAATTCTCTACAGTGCTGCAGGGCAGAGCAAGAGAGCTGACCTGGCATTACTGGTGGCGTCCGCTCTGAGCTGTTTTACGGCCACCAGCACAGCTCTCCCGTCCTGCTCCGGTAACGGGGCGCCCTCCCCTAAAAACTCCACCAGACCCTCCGCCTCACACAGGTGCACCTGGACACAGCAAACAGGTAACTGACACACACAACACAAACATATTTACACCCCCACACACAGTGACACATACTGAGAACAAGTCTGAGAAGCCTTATATAAAGTGGATTACCAGCGTTTTATTAAACATTTTATTATTTTATTATTTCCTTCTAATATCTCACATCCACTTCTGCTTTCATTCATAACACAATAAGCAGCAGACATGGGTGGCAAATAAGAACAAGATTACTGAAGATGATCTGTAATTTTATCAGGGTTTAGTCATGTGGGTGTTCTGAGCGTAACAGGCCTCTCCAAACTCTGCTCAAACTGCCCTATCTAATGTCCGATGTCCGTCCCACACAGTTAGTTACTCCGACTCACCTCCCCAAACTGGCCCTCCCCCAGCTTCTCTCGGAAGATGAGGCGCTCCCGTGGAAACTCGGCCACCGAGATGTCCTTCCTGGTCAGTGAGTCGACGGTAACTGCGGGAACGGCGTACATGTTGCTCCCGGTAACGCCCTGCAGGTTCACGATGTCTGTCTCAGCGTAGTGCGGCACGCTGGTCTGGAAGCCCTGATGAGGGGTACACTGGGTAACGTCTGGCTCAGCATAGCCACCACCACACTCTGGAAACAAACAGAGAAATTATATATATATATATATATATATAAAAAATATACAATTATATTAGATATACAATTATAACTTTTTACCCCTTTTCTACAGTGTTTTTTTTTACTGATTCTAAATGACTTATTATTATGATTTATTGATAATTAACAGTTACAGTAGTGAATGACTGTCATTATATGTTTGATGATTTAGTTAAATTATTGGTTTATGGAAACCAAACCTGTTAATTAAGCACTAACTGATGTGAACTGAATCAAAGTGGAAAAGAGAGAGAGAGAGAGAGAGAGAGAGAGAGAGAGAGAGAGAGAGAGAGAGAGAGGAGAGAGAGAGAGAGACAGATTAATTCAGTGATTGTTAGAGATTCAAACTAAAAAGCTCTGAATGCATAAGTGACCTCTTACCCTCACAGGATTCATCACCATGGTAACAAGAGGTCAGACGGAGGTCAGCCAAGGTCAAACAGGAAAACCGAATGCGAAAGTTAGGAAGGGCAGAGAAAAAAGGGACAGCACTGAAAGAGAAAAAGAGCAAAAGAGAGAGAGACAGAGAGAGAGACACAGAGAGAGAGAGAGAGAGAGAGAGAGAGAGAGAGAGAGAGACAGCAGCATGCAAACAGGTTTTCCTAGAAGCACAACTGAATGTATGAATGGAAGGGCAAGAAAACATTATAGAAAACATTCAAATCCTGTAAAAACAGAGCAGCATGACTTTCTCCATCATTACCCCTCCTCCACCCTTTCCCTCCCAAAACAGTCCATAGTGCCATTTTTCATCGATTTTAAAAGCTGAACTGGGGGTGGAGTTAACTGAAACTACAGGGGGGTCATTACAGTGTGTGTCCACTTGCAACTTTGCCTCATCGCAGCATATTAATTTCAGTGGTGAGCTCTGAAACTTCATGCGGTGCATCATGGGTTCCTTCATGTCCATAATGTCACAGAAACGCCCGAGATGGCGCGATGGGGCAAAGTACAAGTGGACACATAGTGTTACACTTGTAAAGTACATATTTAAACTCTTTTGGCCCAAAAATGGTTTAAACACCTGACAGGTCTGAGTGCTGATGAGCTCCAGCATCACAACAACAGGAGAAAACATGTGTCCCTCAGCTTTGTTCCCAAAATACGACTTTTATCAGCTGTTCCTTCAGTTTCACAATAAATCTAAACAGCTTTCTGTTTAATATGTAAAGCAATCCAAAAAAACGCTTATTTAAACATGTACTAACGAAAGTGTGCCCAGACTTTTGAAGGCCAGTATATGTTAATGAGTGTATTCTGTACCTGAGGCCTCTGCGCTCTGACTCAGCTCCGGTAGTTTAACTCTGAGCGCTGCGGGGTCCTGATACTGAGGGTCCAGCAGAAACACTCGCTCATACGGGGGGTCCAGAGACACGCGAGGGGGCACAGGAGGGGTCTGCAGCACAATGGTGTCACTGCAGGACGACAAACGCACTGTCACCTCCTCCTCCAGGATACGCCTTGGAGCCTGGAGAGAGAGAGAGAGAGAGAGAGAGAGAGAGAGGAGAGAGAGAGAGAGAGAGGAGAGAGGAGAGAGATTCAGTAGGTGTTTAGGGTGGGGTTGGGAGATACGGCCAAAAAATCCCATCACAATTTATTTGTCCACCTCATTCAGGATACATAATTATTCAGTTATCATAAACCCTTATTAGTGGTAAGATCTGATGTAGATCTGAATTGCACTCTGAACCATAAACAAAATAAAACAAAAGGCATCAGATTTATGAAAACTAAACCAACTGATTTCTCCTCCTGCTCTGAGAAATTTTCCCCAAACTCGTGGCTTATTTTATTCTCCACTGCTAACACCATCTAACTCTGCTCACTGTCCCGCTTGATTGTGCTGCTGTGAGTGAACGGCTAGACTTTTTCTCTCTTAATCTAAAATTAAGATGCACAGCACCACCTTGTGTACTGAAGTGGTCACTGTTCAAAGTTCAAGCCTTTACTGCTAAAACAGAACAGAAAAGTATAATTATGAAAATATAATTATTTTCTTTTCTTGCTAAAGGTGGTTAAAAGTGTCAATTTGTGTCGATAATTTGAAAGTTCATGTACTATTTAACCTCCTCAGACACAAACACATCTGCACTTTTATAAAAGATGGTTCTTCAAGGGATCTTTAGTAAAGAAAATAGTTCTAAATAGAACCACGAACACTCAAACAACCCTCTGTATGATTAAAGGGTTCTTTGCATCATGAAAGGGTTCTTCAGATTGATGGAGAATGTCAATCTGAAGAACCCTTTCATAACGAAAAGAGCCCTTTAATCATGCAGAGGGTTCTTTGAGTGTTCATGGTTCCATATAGAACCATTTTCTTTACTAAAGATCCCTTGAAGAACCATCTTTTTTTTAAGAGTGTATGACGACACATCAGATTCCTTCGTTCTCCATATTTAAGGAACTTATTAACACCCCTGACTTATTTCAGCGCCTGTAAACAAACACAACACAGACGCTCACTGAGGCTGCTGAGTCACACATACACACCTTCTCCAGCACTTTACACACATACTGACACCAGAGGATCAGGAAGATGATCACCACCAGCAGGAGAATGATGGTGACCAGACAGCCAATCAGAACAGAGGTACCGCCCTCTTCAGGAGGCTGTGTTTTGGGTGTTGTCATGGTGATATCTGAAGATCACAGAGAGAACAACGCACAGTTGCCTTGTATTTCCGTGAGCTGCGCAGTCATGATTTACATATTTTACTTGTACAGCGATAAACAGCTTTCTGTTCCATTTCTATTCTATTATTAAATTGAAAAATCAGGTAAAAAAGCCCACAGCGTGTGTGCCAACCCACGACAGTGAGGGGCTGCAGGTGCATTTTACCTGTCTTCAGTGTGGTCAGTGCTTGGCTCTCTGTTACAGACAGAGGTGAGGTCATCACTGGAGGCCGTGGAGTGGGCACTGGGTTGGTTGCTGTGACACAAAATAAAAAGAACCAAGGATCATATGGCTATCATAGCGATACGCAGTGCATCTGTTTTTTATATTTTTATGTTTTCGGCTGCCCCAAAAAAGCATTTTCAATACATGAGATCTTCTTTAAAATCTTAGTGATAATAAAAATGGATAAAATACAGGCACCAAGGACGATACTACTGTTTTAGCTATGCGGCACATTTTATCCATTTTCATAGATAACAATCAACAGTATCAGTCATACAGCACCAAAGACCACATAATCAAGCCTTTTAGAGATACTGAACAACTCCATTCGGTTTGAGGTATGTGATTTAGGCATGTAGTTAGTACCATGCTAATTGGTGGGGTATAAGCTTCCAATACTTGTTAGCTACATTAGGCTTGTAGCTCCAGCGCTAAAACTAAAGAAGCAGATACCAAACATATAAACATATTCAAAGAAAAACATTTATCTTCACGTTTTTCAAGTTTCCCTTTTCTACATTGAGCAGCCGTCCTTCACATTGTGTGAAAATGTCATGATGAATGGACCAATAGAAACGCTCCAAAATTGCTTGGAATAAAGTCTCTTTACATTAACTTACACTGAAAGTCTGGTAGAGCATTGATATGTCTTGGTTCTCCTCTTCCTCCTGTGTTCTCTGTACACTTTAGTGACTTAGATAATAGGATGTATTGTGTTCGGCCTCTACTGACTTTACTTACTTATTTATTTAATATATATTTAATTATGATTACACTAGTTATTTATTTATGTTTAATTTAAGTTGTATACTCTCTTAATGTTCCTATGGGAGGGGGGAGGGGGGTGTTTATCAGTCTGAATGTGTCTCTGTAGAGAACTGTTAATGTTGTATTAACAAACTCAGAAATAAAATCTGTTCAAAAAAAAATACACTGAAAGTGAAGCATTTTTGCCCTCTCCTGTAAAAGTTACCATTTTGGAGACAGTTATTTTTCTCTGGAAAGTGATGATATATAACAGTAGTTGACTGCATTTTCCACTGAGATAAACTGGGAGTGTGAGAGGTCCTTGATTGTGATGCATTTCTGTACCAGACTGGAAGGAGATCTCGCTGAACATCATCCAGGTGTCGGCGAAGAAGAACCTGCAGCGGAGCGCGGTTCCCGAGCGCCTCTCTAACGGCACCGTGACGTAGCGAGCGCTGGGGTTCCGGTCGTCCAGCACTGTGGAGAACTCCACCAGCTCCGTCTCCCACTCCGAGATCAGATGCGGCTTAAAGACGCACGACACAGACGAAAACACCTTCACTCCCCGAGAGAACATGTTGTTACTGTGCACCTGCAGTCAAAACAAAGCAGAAGGAAGATCTGATCAACTACATTTGAGGCGGTTAGATTAGCTTTTTTTGACGAATTATCGTTTTAATAGACAGCTAAAGGCTTCCCTCATGCACAGGACTTTCTATACAAACCTTAGAAAAGATGATCATGGAGATTTTTGCATTTTATGTCAATGAACAGAACTCAGAGAGATACCTATGAAGATTAGGAACTGATCGATTATGAACTAGACTGAGACTAAACACATTCTATACTGACTGAGTCTGAAAATCTGACACCAAAATCTGACACACACATGCCTGCGTGGCCAAACAGACACGTTTAAACCTGTTCCAGAGCTGATCCACACCTGGGGCTGGGATTTAACGGAATATAGAAAACAGAAATCTATATTCAGGCCAAGTTACATTTTGTTAAGATATAATTCAGAATACAGTACTTTTTCCATTTTTAGGAGAGTACATATATATATATATATATATATATATACACACACACACACACAAACACACACGTGTATATATATATATATATATATATATATATATATATATATATAAATACATACACGCATGTACCCTAAAGAAGAGCCTTCTACACACAAATGACTGCTAAAGCCTGAGTAGACTGATAAATCACTGTGATGATATTGTAGTTGTGGACAGCTTTGCATATAACAGATATCAGACGGTACAGGTACATGTGGGCGGAGTTTTTGAGGCTGTGACTTCATGCGGCCGTAAATTTGAGCGTTAGGGTCAGGATATAACCATAATTGATAACTATGAATATCGAACGATATGAAAAAATTCACTGTGCTAAGCTCTTAGACTCGTCTACTGCTCTCCTTACCTTCATGGAGGTGAAGTTCCTCTGCCTGTCGAACTGAAACTCCATCTCCACGTATCCAGGACCCAAGCTGTCGTTTCTCCAGCCGACGTAATCATAACCCGACCACAGCTGGTACTGCAGCATCGGGACAAAATCGTCCTGACCAATCACACCGTCTGTCAGCTGACCAAGCCCACCCAGCAGCCTCCTGCAGAAGTGAGTTAATTACAGTTTAATACAGTTCATGGCAATTTAATAATAAATCATACAATTATATAAATCCATTTGTACCTGAATCTGAGACAGAAGGAATGAAGAAGATGGAGGAAGTGAAAATGATATAAAGACAATGAGAGAGAGCAAGATAGAAGGAGAGAAAGAAAGGAAAGCAAATAAGACAGAGAGTGATGGGCAGACATGAGGAGAAGAAACAAGTGAAAATGACAGGAAGTAAAGACTGAGCAAGAGCAAGATAGAGAGGAAAAGATAAAAAAGAGAAGGAAAGGTCAAGAAAGGAAAAGAGAAAGAGAGAGAGGAAGCACTTAGCTACAGCGATGAATGATTAGCATTCACTCTGCAACTCACTTTAGAAAGCCTGAACTGTTCTACTGAAGAATGAGCTCTAAAGTTCATCTACAGTGTTACTGAAAAAGACGTCTGCTTTTGGGAAATCCAGCTAGCTGTGAATGTCGGGTTCTTCGTTTTAAGCTTTGTTAATATCACTAGTTAACATTGATAATATGTACTGCACTTATCAAATACACACTGGGTCTAGAAAACAAAACACTGTATGTACAAGACTTAGCAGTGTTCAATGGCATTTAACAATACACACTGGCTGTAGAAGGTCCAGCCATGTTCAATGGCTTTCAGCAACACACACTGGCTATAGAAAGCCCAGCCATGTTTAATGGCTTTTAGCAATACACACTGGCTATAGAAAGCCCAGCCATGTTTAATGGCTTTTAGCAATACACACTGGATGTAGAAGGCCCAGCCATGTTTAATGGCTTTAGCAATACACACTGGATGTAGAAGGCCCAGCCATGTTTAATGGCTTTAGCAATACACACTGGATGTATAAGGCCCAGCCATGTTCAATGGAATACACACTGGACGTAGAAGGTCCAGCCATGTTTAATGGCTTTTAGCAATACACACTGGATGTAGAAAGCCCAGCCATGTTCAATGGAATACACACTGGACGTAGAAGGCCCAGCCATGTTTAATGGCTTTAAGCAATACACACTGGCTTTTAGAAGGCCCAGCCATGTTCAATGGCTTTTAGAAAGCCCAGCCATGTTCAACGGCTTTGAGAAGGCCCAGCCATGTTTAATGGCTTTTAGCAATACACACTGGCTATAGAAGGCCCAGCCATGTTCAACGGCTTTTAGAAGGCCCAGCCATGTTCAACGGCTTTTAGAAGGCCCAGCCATGTTCAACGGCTTTTAGAAGGCCCAGCCATGTTCAAACTGCAAACCCACATGGTTTCCACTTGCATACCCCCATCATGGGTCATCATAACTGTTTGTGTGTGTAAAATCAGCTTGCCTGCGCTCCAGAACGCCATCGTAGGTGGAATCGTTGAGGGAGGTGATGGGATAGCCTGGAGCCATCATGGTCTGACCCTCTGGAGCACTGTACGCTGTCAACCCATCTACAAACAGACAAAGGAAGAAGAGGCAATTTGGTTTGTTTTGACTGTGATTAGTTTTGGCTTCCAGTCAGACTGACTCAGAGTGTTTGCGGTCAGATTTTATTTGTGGGCTGTTATCAGACCACTAGGGTTACAAACAGTTTAAAGGGGTTTCCACAAGTTGTAGAAGGTCTAGTAGTGTTCAATGTTATTTAGTACATGCAGGCTGTAAAATGTCTAGTAGCGTTTGATGGCATTTAACAATACACACTGACTGTAAAAGGCCTAGCAGTGTTCAATAGTGTTTGATGGGATTTAACAATAGATACTGGCTGTAGAAGGTCTAACAGTGTTTGATGGGATTTAACAATAGATACTGGCTGCAGAAGGTCTAACAGTGGTTGATGGGATTTAACAATGTATACTGGGTGTAGAAGGTCTAACAGTGGAAGTGAAACTTCAACCCTTAACAACTCCATAAGGTTTAAGGCGAGTGTAAGATGACTGTGGCACGCAGTTAGCACCATGCTAATTAGGGGCTAACACATTTCCATCGGTTGTTAGCTACATTAGCTGCATAGCTCCAGTGCAAATCCAAATAAAAACCTATCTTGGCTAATCGACTACATTTGTGTAAAGGGGATCAAGAGTGCAGCTTTGATCTTTCAGTGAATTTTCGCTTTGAAGCTCAAACTGCAGCACAATCAGCATTAAGCAGGCCTTGTTGTGAAATCTGCCGTCAGTGTGCTCTGCTGAAACGGGTGTGTTTACCTTGCCAAGGGCAGCCGAACACCTCCACGCGCATACACACAGTGTGTACGGCGTCAGTAACGGGGATGAGGCGCAGGAAGCGTGTGATGATGGGGGGGTGAAGGTCTTTCACCACTGACGCGTAGGTGTTCACATTCCCCATGATGATCTGCACAAGAGAACACAAAATAATTGTAACACATGAATATCAATCATTTTATATAAATAAATAAACATATATATATGTATATATGTAAATATATATATTTATATATATATATGGGTGCGTATGATTAGTTTAAGTAAACAAACAGGTAAAAAAAAATTAAAAAGGGGGGCATAACTTTCCTAATCCAGTGAACGAGTGGAGATAAACACTAGTGTTCAAAAGAATCACAATTCAAACGTTTGGAACCACTAAATTTATTCAAATTTTTTAAAAAATGTTGCAGGTAAACGTATAATTTGCTTCTATTCTAATGCTACATCTCTATAATGTTATAGATTTCAACTAATCATAGAAGAAGCTGCAGAACCCTGAGAATAAAGTTTACAGTATTTCAGTCTACATTATTACTGAATACAATAACAGCAATTATTAAACAGACCAACATTTGTGTGGTTTTATGTAGCAAGAACAGTCATAATTCATCACAACAGGACCATTTTCCAGCCTCTTTATCCCTCAGAATTAAACAGCCTGATTTTATTACTGTGCCTTTAAGACTGATATACGTAAATGAGCTCTGTTCTGACTGGCTGCCCTGTTTTGTGAGTCAATTAAAAAGCAGTCCAGGCTGAAACACTTCTTATAGCTTCAGTGTGAGTGGGCGGGGCTAAACAGTAGACTAAACAGATGGACGTGTATTAATGAGTCGATTTTTGTGACATCACAGAAAGAGGCTGTGGTTGCAGCTCAGTTTCCGTAAATGGACTGGAGAGCGAACAGTATTTAATCTTGTTTTTTTTCCTCTTTCAGATAAAAACTGACCATTTTTGGCCGAAATGTTTCGGTGGCCGAGATATCAGCGGTTCCCCGTGGAACATGACACATCTAGAACTTTAAACACCCTGTCAGCTTACAAAGCTTACAAAGAACAGAGCTGTGCTGCATTGGTTACTGCAGATCACTGTACCAGGGTGGGAAAGTGACAGTGTTGAGAATGAGTCCCCCTCTGTGGGACATTCTCTACTTTTTGTTTTCGTTTATCGTCCAGATTGTCCTGCACTGCACCTCGTTCCCGGAGCGGTTCCTCCAGGAGATCCAGCGGTGGCCGTCGCGGCTGTAGTCCAGACGGTATTTGCGGGCGAACTCGTTGCCGGAGCTGCGGGCGTAGCGGCCCTGCGTGGCCACCACGGTGACGAAGGTGAGCTGGCGCAGGTCCAGCTGAAGATACTGAACATCTGATGGCTGCAGTTGACCAGCAGGACACCAGGCACCATCACCCTCCTCTCTGTTTAGCCTGAAAGACATTATAGAGCATTATAGAAGGCTTTTATTTTGAAGAAAAGCAAAGTAATGCGACAAAGAATTTCCTTTATGATGCAGCGAAACAGTAGAAGCCATATCGCCCCCTACACTTCCTGTAGTATATTACAGTCTGTCAAAATGACTGTGTGGTTCATAGAACCTTAATACGAACTAAAAATTTTAATAGCCAATGAGTCGGCCTTTAAAATCTGCCTATTTCAACCAGGCCTAATCATTGCAATGTAAAAAAGCAAATTCCACTCTACAGCACTAAAATAAGTAAATAAGTCTAAACAACATGTAAATGTCATTTTTGGGTCATTTGCTTCCTCCATTTGTCCCTCTTGTTCTTGTAACCCAAACAAGACAATTTAGCCTGACCATAAAATTTAAGTCAGTAGACAGTAGAGGGAGAGAGAGAGAGAGAGAGAGAGAGAGAGAGAGAGAGAGAGAGAGAGACTTTGATGACTACAGTGCCCTGAAGAACAAAGCATTCTCACAGAACCATATGGTTTTAAACAACGTCTTTCATCAGCGGAGAGAGAGAGAGAGAGAGGGGGAGAGAGAGAGAGACAGAGAGAAAGAAAGAGAGAGAGAGAGAGAGAGAGAGAGAGAGAGAGAGAGAAAGAGAGAGAGAGAGAGAGACAGAGAGAGAGAGAAAGAGAGAGAGAGAGAGAGAGAGAGAAAGAGAGACAGAAAGAGAGACAGAAAGAGAGAAAGAGAGAGAAAGAGAGAGAGAAAGAGAGAGAGAGAGAGAAAGAAGGGGATACAGCTGGTTCTAAAACTAACACTAGAGTGATAAAGCAGGCTGAGTTTGTGTGTTTGTGTGTTGGAGCACCACAGCGGTCTGACTCTGTAACAATGTCGTATATTGTTTTTGTTTTTTTACCTTCCGTACTGCGGCCCGGTCGTGTCGTACCATTGGCTAGAGGCGGTGATGTCATCGTTTTTGATCCTGCCGTCCTCCATGCCGAGAGGATAACGGCAGAGCGCTGGAAGAGGGCAGAGGTGAAAAGGTCACACGGGGTGAACGGGGCACTGGAGGTCAGATTAAGCCAAATCCACAAAGTAAACGTCACGATCGCATTAAATCCCACAGAGACTTTGTAAACTCCCTGTTTCTGATGTATACGTCCTACGTTGGACGTAAATCCTGACTACCTTGAATGCAAACTCTGTTTTTATGCAAAACCCATTGTTAACATAACCCCATGTATTACCACACATTTTATTTGTTTTCTGTTGTTATATAATCGCTTACATATGCTTTAGTAAACAACAGAACAATAACAGCAACAAGACCAACAACACGCTTCTCACTTTGTAAAGATCTCTAGACTTTGTTCATTAAACTAGCTCACAGGATTTCAGCCACCACAAGCTAATTCTTGTTACTTTTTACTGTAATGGCATTTATTACAATTATATATGATGGTTTACAAGTAAAAATATACTTACTGTTGATGTAAATGTGCTTAGGTGCACATCTGTACAGTACTGCATATATAATACATATGAAGCATAATATTATTACATATATGCACCTTGTATCTCCATTTTTGTCATTTTTCAGTTTTTGATATAATTTGAAAATGCCTGCTGTCCTTTACATTGTGTGTAAATTGCAAGATGAATGGACCAAAAGTAACGGCTCAAAATGATTTGGAAAAAATTCTGGTTCCATTGACTTACATTGAAAGTAAAGTATGTTTTTCCTTCTCCTGTAAAGTCACCATTTTGGAGATATGAGGTTTTGTTCCGACAGCAGCAGCTATATATTATACTTATACAGTCGCATGCAAAAGTTTGAGCACCCCCGGTCAAATTACATGTTTGGTTGATTTTTTAAGTGTAAATAAATTAACACGTCTTCTACAGTAACACACATAAATATGGCATTTTCCTGCGATTTTGGTGCACAATGTTTACTGATTTGCTGAGGTTTTACATACTGAAAAAAATAAAACCTAAAATGTGCCATATCTTATGCACTGGCCACAGTGTTTGTCTTAAATAGAACAAATAAACAGTAACTGTATAGGATGTTAAATTATTTTCACCACACATGACATTGAGCCAGGGGCGTATATAACTGTACTACGTATGGAGCGTTTTACTACTACGTATTACCATATACAGGTACTACATATAGATACTTACATACTTTTAAAACATACGAGACATTGTCTTATTATTACATATAAGAAAGTGCATATATAACACATATAGGATGCATTATTGTGAGGTAAGTCTTTACATACGTACAGAACATACGGGACATGTTATTACGTACAGACAGTGTGTGATCTCGTACTGTGATCTCGTACCTGGGTCGATCTGAGCGTCGGTTTTAGAGTTTAGGACCAGCAGCAGGAAGAGTAACATGGTGAGGCATCAGAGTCGCTCACTGCAGAAAACACACTACATCTCTACAGGGAGGGAGAGAGAGAGTGAGAGAGAGAGAGAGAGAGAGAGAGAGATTAATGACATTAAAGCCCCAAAGAGCCTCAGGTTAACTACATTCTTTTCCATACCAAACAAAATTATAACCAATTAACAAAAAACACATCACATATCAGGCAGCATCTACAAACACACGACACAAACTTCAAAAGTGTTCGCTTCTAAATTTAGATCACACACCGATGACCCGTCTGACTGCAATCACAAACAAACACCTGAGGAAAAAAGAGCTGCACAGTCAGAAGAGCTTCAGGGTTTCAGGAGTTCAGCACCACATCTATGCAGTTGCTCTACAGCGCCTCCTAACGGCTTCCTCAGAAGAGATGAGCAATAAAGAGTATAAACAACTGTCTTTGTTTATGACAATCGTCTGTACTCTTATTTATGATGAGAAAAATCTGACACACAAAAAAGCACAACAATCACTGAAACATTGAACCACAGCATAAAAACACGATCACTGACACACTGAACCACAGCTATAACACAATCACTGAGTCACTGAACTATAGCGTAAAATCACACAACAATCACTGACACACTGAACTACAGTGTAAAACTTGATCACTGACACACTGAACTACAGCGTAAAAACACAATTACTGACACAGCGAACTACAGCTAAAACACAGACAATAATCACTGAAACACTGAACTACAGAGTAAAAACACACAACAATCACTGACACTGAACTACAGAGTAAAAACTCAACAATCACTGACACACTGAACTAGAGTAAAATCACACAACAATCACTGACACACTGAACTAGAGTAAAAACACACAACAATCACTGACACTGAACTACAGAGTAAAAACACACAACAATCACTGACACACTGAGCTACAGCGTAAAATCACACAACAATCACCGACACACTGAACTACAGCGTAAAATCACACAACAATCACCGACACACTGAGCTACAGCGTAAAATCACACAACAATCACTGACACACTGAGCTACAGCGTAAAATCACACAACAATCACCGACACACTGAACTACAGCGTAAAATCACACAACAATCACCGACACACTGAGCTACAGCGTAAAATCACACAACAATCACCGACACACTGAGCTACAGCGTAAAATCACACAACAATCACCGACACACTGAGCTACAGCGTAAAATCACACAACAATCACCGACACACTGAGCTACAGCGTAAAATCACACAACAATCACCGACACACTGAGCTACAGCGTAAAATCACACAACAATCACCGACACACTGAACTACAGCGTAAAATCACACAACAATCACCGACACACAGAACCTTTCTATTTCTCTCACACACTCTATGTCTCTTGCTCTCTGTCCACCTTTGTCTCTCTCACTCTGTGTTCTCTCTCTCTCTCTCTCTCTCTCTCTCTCTCTCTCTCTCTCTCTCTCTCTGTTCTGTCTCTCTCTCTCTCTCTCTCCCTCTCCCTCTATGCTGAAGCAGAGTGTCTGGACTATGTCCAGAACATTAAGTCAGAGATTATTGCTGCAGTCTGGGGCTGAATCAGGAGAGCTCCTGCTGTATCCCTCTAAAACTGATAGTGGGTAAAAAAAAGAGTGTGAGAAAAATCAAAAAGAAAGAAGAGAGAGGACTTGCAGGGCACCCCAAATACAAAGAGTCTGAATAATCAACCAAAGAGGCTAAAAGATTTTTTTGTGATTGCTGTGACTAAAGTTCTTTATTTTTAAAATCTGCTACTTTAATATTAGTATTTTAAGTCTAATATTTATCAAACGTAGCCTCGTTAGTTTCTGTCAAAACACAGTAAATTAACCCTTTATGGCAGATACAAAAAACATCTACTTCTGCCATTTAATGTGCTCTTCTCTATTAATCACATGGTTTCTCAGCACTGCTATTGTCTTTATTTTGATACACATCAAACATGAACAGCTGAAAATGAAGAGATTTTTAGTTACAAACTACCGTTCGAACATGAAAATGCATGAATAGGAATCTAAGTCACACTTCAGTCGCACTTCATTACTAATTTGAGTAAACAGATCAATAACAAGTGCTCACTGATCAGAACTTGTCGTGGAGGAGCTCTCACGCTCGCTTGGAAAAAAATCACGGTGCATCCAACAGTAGAGGCAACATTCAGACATCTCCGGTTCAACACGCTGAGCTTGATGAAGTGATGTTACTGTTAAAACCGGCGGTGATGTAACTCTTCTGGCAGCAGTGTTCGCTTTTTCGGGGTTCCAATTCCGGCACACTGTGGTCAAGTTTACCTCTGAGAACCAAGAACATGCAAAGCAACAGACTCAAAATTAAAAAAGCAACACTGTTTTAAAGTCTCTAAGAGTTTTACATCAAAATGATGCAACGAAAATTGGTGACCACAACAAAGTACTGACAGATTGTTCACATGTCCGCTCAGCCAGCTGAGCACACTGTCTGAATAAACAGGAATATTCAGGGAATGTGAGGAAGTGTGTTGCATTAAAGAGCGTCCAGTAGCGCTGCGGCTCTGAACTAATATGAACCCAGCAGCTAATGTGCTTTGCAGCTGTCAACACAGTGGAAAACATCTAGCACCCATACTGCTACGAACAGCATACAGACACAGATCCAAATGACACGGAAGAGCGTTCACACGGACGTGTAGGCAGGAAATCTGAACGGAACTGACAAAATCAGGGTAGCTGCAGCCAGCTTAGCAATAATACAGACTGTAATACACTACAGGAAGTGTAGGGGGCGATATGGCTTCTACTTTTTCATTTAAAAAGCCTCTATAATGTTCATATGATCCACACAGTCATTCTGACAGACTGTAATACACTACAGGAAGCATAGGGGGCGATATGGCTTCTACTGTTTCATTTAAAAAGCCTCTATAATGTTCATATGATCCACACAGTCATTCTGACAGACTGTAATACACTACAGGAAGCGTAGGGGGCGATTCGACTTTGTTACACCATAAAAGAACAATCGTTTGAATGATCAGTTAAACAAGTATCAATAAACAGATTAAGTGATTACTGAATGTTTGAGATTTTAAATATTGTACCATAAAACCTTTCGTTGATCTTTGATGCCAAAGTGCCAGAAGTAACAGGAACAGGATTTTGGATATGATCCCTGATTTTATCAGACTAGAGCTCATATCATATACCTCGTATACCTGCCTCCCTGTCCTGAAGCTACTATTGTCCGGTTGTTTTCAATCTAGTTGTTTAGTTTAAATGCATTATTTGTTCGTGTTTCGTAACAAATTCAGTTTGTGATCTTTGCTTGAAACTCATCTAGTAGTTCTTCTTCAGAACGCTCCCGCAGACATTGAGTTCCAGGTCACAGTAGGTCACAGCTGAGATCTAGAGAGCTCAGAGAGATAGTGAAAAAGCGAGGGAAAGAGAGAGCAGAGAACGACAGAAGAGAGAGAGGGGGAGGTAGTTTATGTAATGTTTGGCTCCAGTTGAGGCCTGTGTTGGGATTCCAGCTCTATTGCTCATCTTTCTGAGGGTCCCGCGTGGCTGACCAGGAAACACAGCCCAGAAACAAAACCACGCTAACAACCTTCCAAACAATACTTACGCTAACTGTCATCCAAACAACACTAACCAAAGCTGAAGACCTCCCAAACAATACTGAAGCTAACAGATCTCCCAAATAATACCCCTCAACACAGCTCTCAAACAACACCAACACTAGCAATCTCCAAAACAATACCCAGCCAACACTAACAATCTCTCAAACAATACTCTAACAATGCCAAAAATCTCCCAAAGAGCACCAATGATAACAACATCCAAGCAGCACTAACAACCTCAAACAATATTCAACAAATGCTAACAACTTCTCAAACAAAATCTGACCAACGATAACATCCAAATAATACCCAACCATGATAACAACCTCACAAACAAATTCAGATCAATGCTAACATCTCAAATAATACCATGCTAACCATCTCTCAAACTAAGTCTGACCAACACTTAAAGCATCCCAAACAATAACAACCCAAACTCAAACTAACAACCTCACAATGTTCAACCAGAACTAACAACCTCCAAACAATGTCCAACTAAAACTAACAATCTCCAAACAATGTTCAACCAGAACTAACAACCTCCCAAACAATGTTCAACCAGAACTAACAACCTCCCAAACAATGTTCAACCAGAACTAACAACCTCCCAAACAATGTTCAACCAGAACTAACAACCTCCACACAATGTCCAACTAAAACTAACAACCTCCCAAACAATGTTCAACCAGAACTAACAACCTCCAAACAATGTCCAACTAAAACTAACAACCTCCAAACAATGTTCAACCAGAACTAACAACCTCCAAACAATGTCCAACTAAAACTAACAATCTCCAAACAATGTTCAACCAGAACTAACAACCTCCCAAACAATGTTCAACCAGAACTAACAACCTCCCAAACAATGTTCAACCAGAACTAACAACCTCCCAAACAATGTCCAACCCAAACTAACAACCTCCAAATATCTAACCAGAATCTGGTACCCAACCTGGACGAACCAACTCCCAAACAATATCCAACCAGAACTAACAACAAGAATTGACAACCTCACAAACAATACCCAACAAATGCTAACAACTTCTCAAACAAAATCTGACCAACGATAACATCCAAACAATACCCAAGCACGCTAACAACCTCACAAACCAATTCAGATCAATGCTAACATCTCAAATAATACCATGCTAACCATCTCTCAAACTAAGTCTGACCAACACTTAAAGCATCCCAAACAATAACAACCCAAACTCAAACTCGAACAACCTCCAAACAATGTCCAACCAGAACTAACAACCTCCCAAACAATAACAACCCAAACTCTAACAACCTCCAAAGAATGTCCAACTAAAACTAAAAACCTCCCAAACAACACCCAACCTGGACGAACCAACTCCCAAACAATATCCAACCTGAACTAAGAACCTCCAAACAATATCCAACATGAACTAAGAACCTCCAAACAATATCCAACATGAACTAAGAACCTCCAAACAATATCCAACATGAACTAACAACCTCCCAAACAATATCCAACCAACTCTTCCAAACAACACTAAACACCTCCCAGAACAAACCAAACCCTGACCCTGACCTCCCAACAGCGAAAAAAAAAACTGCTAAGCTCACTGCGTGAAGAAAGAGCACAAAACGGTAAATCTCCTAAGTGTGGATTCGTGTGAGCTGTTTTTGTTCTGCATGACTGTTGGAAACCCCAGCGGAACCGACCCCAGCGGTGCCCCTGGGACGAGCTCGGAGTTTACTAACACAGAGCAGGCTGGACTTCAGCGTGTGCGCAGTCGAGAGGTGATGTTGTTATTAGATAGCTCAGCTGTAGTGCCCAGAACCAGATGAGCTCAGGACCCAGAATCCTGACTGAAGCTTCAGGCTGTGGATCAGAGCACACCTGCACAGTCAGGGCAGACAGACGAGAGAGAGAAGCACTGGAGGAAAAACACAACAATCTTTCCAAACAGCTCTTCATTCATATTCATATAAGTCCAGCACTAATGCGAACGCACTTCAGCAGTCGACTTCCTCATAGCGGAGCACGAAAGGCCCGAATTCCAGCCAGCGGCGAGTCTTACAACATGCAGGAACTTGTCATCGGCACAGAGCTCCCTCAGCACAGAAATGTAACCAGTACAAACGTTCGCTCTGCAGGCCCAGAGGAGCGTTACTGCAAAACAGACTTTCATTATGCAACACGGTCAACGAACAGCAATCCATCAGGCAAAGGAGGAGAGAGAGCGAGAGAGAGACCCTGAGAAAGAGTGGGAGAGGGAGAGCAAGAGAGTAAAGGAGGGCAATATGGCAAAAATACTTCAATACTTCAGGAGCAGCCAAAGCCTGGCCAATGAGAACGTCTGATTTGGCCTGCCGAAAGTTCCCTTCATCCACCGAGAGAACGTATTTATATACTTTCAATATACCGAATACTTATTTTAAATTTAAAATTGTTATTTTTAATTATTTTCGTAACAACGTGCAGTGTAACATTGTGAAATACAGTTTTATAGTCTTTTGGCCCTTAGCTCACCAAAGTTTATGCACCCCTGGTCAAAAACAACTAGGACTGAGTATCGTTCGATATCAGCAGCAATACCTTCATTTTGATACTGATTCCTGAACAAGTGTTCGATACTTTCTTTTTAATTACAAACTCAACGTGGGCACGGCTTCAACCAGAAGAACTAGAACCAGTGTGAGGTGCTACAAGTGGGTGCATGTACTGACGGCAACGGCCTGCAGACCAATCAAGAAGTGCTGACGTTAATGACATGCATATGGAATGTAATTTCAGTCAATCAGGAGTCTAGATGTTGCAACAAGCAATTTGGCTTAGGGATGCTGACTGATTATTATACTGTACTATACTGCAGTATTGAAGCAATTCGATCAGCACCATAAAGGTCTTAAAATTCGATACCCAGTCTTATCCATAACACTTCAAAAAAAATCGATTTTCTAAATATTTAATTTATAACGTAACATTGACGGAATGCAAAAGGCGGAACTTGGAAGTGGGTAAGTGCAGCGCCCGGACAGTCTGTGGCGGCACATAACAAAAACTGGATGAGTGCCTCTGCATTAAAGCCAGGTTAGGTCAGGAGTTACAACACAAATGATAAGAAGAGCCATTTTGACCTTTCAACAAAAATTAAACCACCTTGGGAGCCGCAACATTTAATGTCTCAGTATGTGATGATGTCCTAGTTTAGGCTCTGCTCTAAGCTTTAGCTCAGCTGTAGTCGCTTTTCCTCCAACTCCGCCAGAAAACTTTTCCTCAAAAGTTGAATAGTTTCTTGTAAATTGTCCTGTTTTACGAGGCTGAAGTCTCTTTTCAATCGCCAGCTTCTTGCTGAACTTTCCCGTTCCACCTTAAATTCTGACTGAGGCACCGAATGTAAATGCGGCACCATTTAAGGTGGAATGGGAAAATTAGAAGCAAATACATCTTCGCACCTTTTTAGTTCGTGTTTGACAGTCTCTCACTGCAGATTTAATGTACCAGGAAACCAACTGTGCTGCTCATAAATGTGTGAAGTCCATTCATCTCCAAATGTTCGCCTGTCTTTCGCTTTTCCTTTTTCGTTCGCTACTAGCAAGGCGAAACCTCGTTGCTACGTGAGAAACGCCAGTTCTCAGTTGTTGCGACCCAACCTCTCAGCACTTAGCCCTCTGTTTTGCGCGTTCTCATCTAGGGGTAGGGTGTCCCGATTCTTGTTGAGATAGAG